CAGTATGATATTGGCTGTTGGTTTGTCATAAATAGCTTTTATTACTTTGAGATATGTTCCATCGATACCGAGTTTATTGAGGGTTTTTAGCATAAAGGGCTGTTGAATTTTGTCAAATGCCTTCTCTGCGTCAATTGAGATAATCATGTGGTTTTTGTTTTTGGTTCTGTTTATGTGGTGAATTACGTTGATAGACTTGCGTATGTTGAACCAGCCTTGCATCCCCGGGATGAATCCTACTTGATCATGATGAATAAGTTTTTTGATTTGCTGTTGCAATCGGCTTGCCAATATTTTATTGAAGATTTTTGCATCTATGTTCATCATGGATATTGGCCTGAAGTTTTCTTTTCTCGTTGGGTCTCTGCCGGGTTTTGGTATCAGGATGATGTTGGTCTCATAAAATGATTTGGGAAGGATTCCCTCTTTTTGGATTGTTTGAAATAGTTTTAGAAGGAATGGTACCAGCTCCTCCTTGTGTGTCTGGTAGAATTCGGCTGTGAACCCGTCTGGACCTGGGCTTTTTTTGTGAGGTAGGCTCTTAATTGCTGCCTCGACTTCTGACCTTGTTATTGGTCTATTCATAGTTTCAGCTTCCTCCTGGTTTAGGCTTGGGAGGACACAGGAGTCCAGGAATTTATCCATTTCTTCCAGGTTTACTAGTTTATGCGCATATAGTTGTTTGTAATATTCTCTGATGATGGTTTGAATTTCTGTGGAATCTGTGGTGATTTCCCCTTTATCATTTTTTATTGCATCTATTTGGTTGTTCTCTCTTTTATTTTTAATCAATCTGGCTAGTGGTCTGTCTATTTTGTTGATCTTTTCAAAAAACCAGCTCTTGGATTTATTGATTTTTTGAAGGGTTTTTCGTGTCTCAATCTCCTTCAGCTCAGCTCTGATCTTAGTAATTTCTTGTCTTCTGCTGGGTTTTGAGTTTTTTTGATCTTGCTCCTCTAGCTCTTTCAATTTTGACGATAGGGTGTCAATTTTGGATCTCTCCATTCTCCTCATATGGTCACTTATTGCTATATACTTTCCTCTAGAGACTGCTTTAAATGTGTCCCAGAGGTTCTGGCACATTGTGTCTTCGTTCTCATTGGTTTCGAAGAACTTTTTTATTTCTGCCTTCATTTAGTTTTTTACCCAGTCAACATTCAAGAGCCAGTTGTTCAGTTTCCATGAAGCTGTGCGGTTCTGGGTCTGTTTCTGAATTCTGAGTTCTAACTTGATTGCACTATGGTCTGAGAGGCTGTTTGTTATGATTTCAGTTGTTTTGCATTTGTTGAGCAGTGCTTTACTTCCAATTATGTGGTCAATTTTAGAGTAGGTGTGATGTGGTGCTGAGAAGAATGTGTATTCTGTGGATTTGGGGTGGAGAGTTCTGTAAATGTCTATCAGGTTTGCTTGCTCCAGGTCTGAGTTCAAGCCCTGGATATCCTTGTTAATTTTCTGTCTGGTTGATCTGTCTAATATTGACAGTAGAGTGTTAAAGTCTCCCACTATTATTGTGTGGGAGTCTAAGTCCTTTTGTAAGTCATTAAGAACTTGCCTTATGTATCTGGGTGCTCCTGTGTTGGGTCCATATATGTTTAGGATCGTTAGCTCTTCTTGTTGTATCGATCCTTTTACCATTATGTAATGGCCTTCTTTGTCTCTTTTGATCTTTGTTGCTTTAAAGTCTATTTTATCAGAGATGAGAATTGCAACTCCTGCTTTTTTTTTTATTTCCATTAGCTTGGTAAATCTTCCTCCATCCCTTTATTTTGAGCCTTTGTGTATCCTTGCATGTGAGATGGGTTTCCTGGATACAGCACACTGATGGGTTTTGGATTTTTATCCAATTTGCCAGTCTGTGTCTTTTGATTGGTGCATTTAGTCCATTTACATTTAGGGTTAATATTGTTATGTGTGAATTTGATACTGCCATTTTGATGCTAAGTGGCTGTTTTGCCTGTTAGTTGTTGTAGATTCTTCATTATGTTGAAGCTCTTTAGCATTCAGTGTGATTTTGGAATGGCTGGTACTGATTGATCCTTTCTATGTGTAGTGCCTCTTTTAGGAGCTCTTGTAAAGCAGGCCTGGTGGTGACAAAATCTCTGAGTACTTGCTTGTTCGCAAAGGATTTTATTCTTCCTTCACTTCTGAAGCTCAGTTTGGCTGGATTTGAAATTCTGGGTTGAAAGTTCTTTTCTTTAAGAATGTTGAATATTGGCCCCCACTCTCTTCTGGCTTGTAGTGTTTCTGCCGAGAGATCTGCTGTGAGTCTGATGGGCTTCCCTTTGTGGGTGACCCGACCTTTCTCTCTGGCTGCCCTTAGTATTCTCTCCTTTATTTCAACCCTGTTGAATCTGACGATTATGTGCCTTGGGGTTGCTCTTCTTGCGGAATATCTTTGTGGTGTTCTCTGTATTTCCTGCAATTGAGTGTTGGCTTGTCTTGCTAGGTGGGGGAAATTTTCCTGGATGATGTCCTGAAGAGTATTTTCCAGCTTGGATTCATTCTCTTCGTCCCCTTCTGGTACACCTATCAAACGTAGGTTAGGTCTTTTCACATAGTCCCACATTTCTTGGAGACTTTGTTCATTCCTTTTTGCGCTTTTTTCTCTGATCTTGGTTTCTCGTTTTATTTCATTGAGTTGGTCTTCGACTTCAGATATTCTTTCTTCTGCTTGGTCAATTCGGCTATTGAAACTTGTGTTTGCTTCGCGAAGTTCTCGTATTGTGTTTTTCAGCTCCTTTAATTCATTCATATTCCTCTCTAAGGTATCCATTCTTGTTATCATTTCCTCGAATCTTTTTTCAAGGTTCTTAGTTTCTTTGCATTGATTTAATACATGATCTTTTAGCTCACAAAAGTTTCTCATTATCCATCTTCTGAAGTCTAATTCCGTCATTTCGTCACAGTCATTCTCCGTCCAGCTTTGCTCCCTTGCTGGTGAGGAGTTTTGGTCCTTTCTAGGAGGCGAGGTGTTCTGGTTTCGGGTGTTTTCCTCCTTTTTGCGCTGGTTTCTTCCCATCTTTGTGGATTTGTCCGCTGGTCGTCTGCGTAGTTGCTGACTTTTCGTTTGGGTCTCTGAATGGACACCCAGAATGTTGATGATGAAGTATTTCTGTTGCTTGGTTTTCCTTCTACCAGTCTAGCCCCTTCACTGTACGACTGCTGAGGTCCGCTCCAGACCCTGCTTGTCTGGGGTGCACCTCTAGTAGCTGTGGCACAGCGAGGGATGCCACCAGTTTCTTTTTCTGCTCTCTTTGTCCCAGGATGATGCCTGCCTAATGTCAGTCTTTTGGATATAGAGGGGTCAGGGAGCTGCTTGAGGAGACAGTTTGTACTTTATAGGGGTTTAATTGCTGAGCTGTGCACTCTGTTGTTCATTCAGGGCTGTTAGGCTGCTATGTTTTATTCTGCTGCAACAGAGCTCAGAGCTCATTAAAAAACCCTTTTTTTTTTTTTCTCTCAAATGCTCTGTGTTGAGGGGTTTGGGCTTTATTTTTGGATGTCCGATCAGGTGTCCTGCCCAGCTAGAAGGCAGACTAGCCACTGTTTGGCTGCCGAGGCTCCGCCCTGCTGTTGTGTGATTCGCGCTGTTCCTGCCGGCTCTGCTGTGGTCTCCGCCACGCCCTGCGGCGGAGTCTCTTCGTTGTAGCGTGTTGCCTCAGCAACGGCAGGCTGCGTCACCAGTGGGCGTGTATCTCAGTAGGGACGGGTTGCCTCGGCAACGGCTGGCTGCGTCAGCAATGGGCGTGTGTCTCAGTTGGGGCGGGTTGCCTCGGCAACGGCTGGCTGCGTCAGCAGTGGGCGTGTATCTCAGTTGGGGCGGGTTGCCTCGGTAGTGGTGGACGCCCCTCCCCCACAGAGAGTCTCCAACCGTCTGCTCGGGATAGTTTGAAATCGCGGTTTTGTTCGTCCCACTGGGTATCCCAATCCCTGCAATCCCCTGGGCTGGCCTACTGTCCAAGTCTCGTTCAGTCTCAAGTCCAGCCCTCTCAAGTCTCAGGTTGCCGGTTCAACAGGGCACCCGGACAAGCGCGCCCTGTGGGGATTGCTGGGTAGGGCCGGCCGCCACCGCCCTGCCTGCCGGCTTCGCCAGGCAGACCTACTGCCTGGCGTCCCCTGTCTTTTTTATACTTGGGAGTTTCCCCGTTCTGTGGGCAACAAAGATCAGTCTGGAAATGCCGCTCTGACTCACCGTTTGCGGATTCAACGAGAAGAGCTCCAATCCTGGGTTGTTCTCACAGCGCCATCTTCTAAAGTATAATTTTTGATTCAAAATAATAAAGCCCTATGAAGTTTGTATACACCCGTATTTACTGAAGTAATTTGATTACACCCTAAATATGATGGAAAGAATTTTGGAGTATGCTGAAATACAGATTATCTCAAAGATCTATCCTTGTAAAAGGAATGAAATAATTTGTAACTATTGTACACTTTATCTGATGATCATAAAATACTTTACCAACTGTAACTCATCAGTCCTCCCAGTTCTCCCCACCGTTCCCCAATATCCACTCCCAGGTTTGTGGGAATGGGTACTGAGAAAATAAGCCAAGCTGCAGCTGGGTAACCGTAGACATCCAGAACTTTGGTAACTGGACATCAGAATCTACAGCTGGGTAACTGCAACCATCCAGACGAACACTGCAAATCCTACTCAGAACTTTGGCGGATTTAGAAGGCAGTTGGTAGCCGAATACCTTAGCTGTTACTGTGCTATTTTCATGCAGACTGCAGAAAATTAAGGGTCCTTATTAGGTATTGTAAGAAGTTAGCTCTACCCAGTCAAATTCCAACCTCTACGAGATTAAAGCTTATACATTTGACTTCACATATCCATGTTACTAATGTAGACATATTCTGTTTTCATTTTATCCATCATGGAAGAATAAGACATGTGAATTAGTTTCTGCTCCTGAGTTGTTTGAAAAAATATGAAAGGTAATACTGACATAATGTTGAAAATATTAATAGGCTTTTATTTCTTCTCGTGTGAAAAGGAATGCACTATTTACATATGGAGGCTCCTGTCAAGGTGATTCACAGAGACCTCAAGTCAAGAAATGGTAATGTATTTATATTTTTATTTTACCTATTTTATTACAAATTACATATACATGTATGTAGAAATGAACACTATGCCTTTACATGCCTTTTGTAGCCTACTGTTGGACTCACTGCTGATACTATGAAAGTCTTTCTACTGTCAATAAATAACAAAAATCTTGATATTATTTGAAGAAGCTGCACAGTCTTTCACTATGTAAACATAGCCCAGAATGTGGACATTTGAATTGTTTACAGTTTTTCTCTGATAAGAAATGCTGGGCTTGATGCCTTTCAGCCAAATGTTTCAAGGCATCCCCAATAATTTCCCTAGAATCATCTTCTAAAAGAAATACTGCTGTATCAAAGTGTGCAGTCATATATTTTTAGTCTTCTATTTTTAGGTGGCTTTGCACACTATCAATTTTGAATTTTGTTCTTGTTGCTTCTGAATTGCATGGCGTGAATTGTTTGTGCCAGTCTTGCCTGTGTTACCTGGAGTAGTGCCCAAAATGAGCCACATGTTTGGAAGTTTGGAAAGTAAAGGCTCTCTTTTTCTTCTTTCTCTTCTTCTGTACTTTCTAAAGCTTATTTATGGCCCTGTATTTTATAATTTGGAGGGGCTGAGCATTTTAAAATAACTGGCAGGATTAGACATTACCTTCAAATAGGAGTGGAAACAGAATGCTTCTTCCATTACATCACTTCAGAGTCATCTGAGGAAGGCAGTAGGGTTATTTAGCTATCCAGAACTAGCTAAACTAAACATCAGAATTTGCTACTTTTTTGAATACCCTGCTATCAATTAATTATTTACATGCTTTCTAAATGGTCCTTCTCAGTAAGGAGGAAGATGACTATTTGTTTTTAGGAGATCTTCAATTAAAATCAGTATGTGCTAACAATGTGATCCTTAGAATGGGTAGTGATGGCAAGTAGTGGAAGAGGACCAGGGAATGAATCAATGAGGTACCACTGCACGTACCCCAGGACTGTAAGAGGTGTGTGTGTGCATGTGTGTTTAGCTGGGAGGGAGGGGGTATGGGGGTTGGGGAGGGAAGTTACTGGCACCTGCCACTCATCAGTAATCCAGGTTGGACCACCAATTTAATGCTGTCTGATTGTCCTTTCCTCTTCTAGTCATCACTTATCCTTTGGTTCTTCTTAGACATAAGCTTCCTGGAACTAAGCACTTTTAATATATGGTCAGCTAACAGGATGTCATTAGGAAATAATTTAGACTAGTAAATATCAGAGTTTTATAAATTTGTAAGTTTTCAGTTCATGCTCCGAATTTCAATTTAAATATGTTATTTGACTTCAGTATATGTTAAATCTTCCACAAAAGAGGAATGATTAACTAAATTATGGATTTATCCATGCTATCATTATGAAGGCTATATAACAATGGAGAATGGCCCCATTTTAAAAATTTACGGTATTATGGTTACTAAATAGGAACACACATATACTCATATTGAAAGAATATACACCTAATTTATAGCAATTCCTTTTCCCTTGGAAAGATAACCAGACTTTCACTTTCTATGTTATGTATTTTTATAATGGCAGTTTTTCTAATGAGCACTTGTGAATCTTAAATGAGAAAGCTGAATATAAAATTTAGTAATATTTACATTTCTATTTGCAGAAGTTTATAGCTTATTACTTATAGTATCATGTTTACCCTGAGGCTATTTTCATAAATTTGGTCATACAAAGATCATTTTCCCTCCTTGGTAAAATCATCAGTAACCAGTAAGTATTGATCATCTGTCATGTTCAAAGCATGCATGGCTTACAAAAGAAACAGCTGAAACAGTTCTTCAGAATTTTATCCTCAGACTCATTTTCTCTTACGCTCTGATTCTTGCACTCCCATAAAAGCCCCATTTACAGCCAGGCATGGTGGTTCATGCCTATAATCCCAGCATCTTGGGATGCCGAGGCGAGAGGAGCATGAGGTCAGGAGATCAAGACCATCCTGGCCAACATGGTGAAACCCTGTCTCTACTAAAATATAAAAAATTAGCTGGGCATGGTGGTACACGCCTGTAGTCCCAGTTACTGAGGTGGCTGAGGCCGGGGAATTGCTTGACCCCAGTAAGTGGAGGTTGCAGTGAGTCAAGCTCGTGCCACTGCACTCCAGTTTGGCAACAGAGCAAGATTCCATCTCAAAAAAAAAAAAAAAAAAAAAAAAAAAACCCATTTACACATTAATAGTCCAAAACAGATCTCAACTTCAGAACTATATATCTATCTGCTGATTAGATATATCCACATATTTTGTAAGACCTTAAAATATGTTATGTCCAAATTAAACTTTTCATTTTCTCCCTACCCCCGAAAAATCATCCCCGCATTTCCTTTACTGAGTGGCAGTACCATTTGCCCAAGCCAGAAGTTAGATAAATAATAGTTACAGTTTAAATCCAGAGCTCCCATTCTAACCATTAATCTGTATTGCTTCTTTATGTGATTTTATCCTGGAGTTCTCTTCCTCCTCCCCCCATATTCAGCCATTCATCAAGTGTAGGTGATCCTGCACCCTAAATATTTTTTGACTCGGTCAACTTTTCTCCTGTCCTTTGCCACCGCCTTAGTACAGACATCCTCATCTCTCTCCTGGACCACAAAACCTCGTGCAAAGTGATCCCCTTGCCTCCAGGTCTGTTCTTCTCTATCATAGTCTTCCATCTGCACATTTGCTCATTTCATTCCTTCACATGAAATTGGTTCATTGGCTTTCTCTTTCTCGCAAGGGCTTTTCTTGACCTGGCCCCTGCCTTCCATACTTGCCATGCCTTTTTTGTCTGTGCCTGAGTTTTTGCATAGGCTCTCTCTTCTGCCTAGGAAACTACCTTCCTCCCTCAGCTCTCCACTTTCTGGTTAGCTCCTATATTTCTCACCTCTTAGCACAAGCATCATTTCTTGCAGGAAGCTTCATCTGACCTCTCTAGACATAGATATCCCTGTTCTTTGGTTCCACAGTATTGTTTGTTTCACTCATCATCAAATTTGTCCCGCTTTGTTGATGTCTATTTAATTGTCTCTCTGATAAGAATGTAAACCCCATGAGAGCAAAGAGTGCCAGACTTTTTCACAGTCCTGTTCCACAGTGTAATACATGGCCTTACCCATAGTAGCCCCAGCAAGTATTTATTGAATGAATGAATGTGTGAACAAGTGAATTAATGAATATTCTCTCCACCTTTAACAAAAATCCTCAGTTGGGAGGAAACCGTATATATAACATGAAGTAGTTGCTAATGACTACCTCAATGTCACATTGGCAATATACAGGCAGAACCCAGGTAAAAATTTGGTTCTCCTGACTACTATTAATTTGTGCCTTTTTTACTGAACAGTACTGTATTTGGATAAAACAAAAACCATCAATACCTCAGAAGCCTTTTTAATCAGTACCTAACGGTTATTAAGTTTTTGTTTTAATGTCAGTCCCCTTCTGCAAAATCCTCAATGCTATAAATACATTGATTTCACCTTTCATAATGCCATGCTGAAGACAGAAATAGAAGTTTATGGTTTTTTCACTATAAGACAGTTCAAACAAATTAGATGATTGTTGTAATTTTTCTTTTTTTCTTTTTTAGTTGTTATAGCTGCTGATGGAGTATTGAAGGTAGGACTATTTCTTTTACTTAAAAAATTGTCAATTTCAGATGTAGGTTTTTGTAACCGATGATTCTTTAGCCAATAAATAGAAAGTTGATACTGATTCCTGTTTTCTCAGATCTGTGACTTCGGTGCCTCTCGGTTCCATAACCATACAACACACATGTCCTTGGTTGGAACTTTCCCATGGATGGCTCCAGAAGTTATCCAAAGTCTCCCTGTGTCAGAAACTTGTGACACGTATTCCTATGGTGTGGTGAGTTCATTTATCATTTCTTGTTTACTAAAGGAAATACAAAAGGCAAACAATCTAGAGAAGAGAGAGAGAGTTTAACATGGTTTTATTTGAGACTGTACTGCTGTTTCTGGTGGAATGCCTGAAGCAGTGGCAGTGGCAAACACTTCCTAGTTGCCAAAAGGTTTAATCATTTTTAATCATCAGAGTTATTTTGTCCTGTGTTGAGAAGAAACCAGCACCACTTCCAATAAACAAATGGAACCCGAGATAGTGTTGGGCTGCACTTCGCCTGTGAGGATGATCTTTTTGCAGGGTGGTAATGTGTCTGTAGACTGTCTCTGTAATTTCAGTGGAAATGTGGATCATTTGGAACAGGGCTTCATTGTAATAGATTGCTTAAACAGTATAAAATCACTAACAGAGCTGCCAGGTGAGTTAATCACCAGGAAACTTTTGAGTCTGAGCTATCATACTGGTTCATGAATTTCTAAAAGTCCAAAAGAAACCATACTTAGCACTACCAGATGGCCTTGGCCGGGTCTGCTCCCAGTCTTAGAGTAGCAGTGACTATCTGAAGCCTGACTCTAAGGCATTACATAAGAATCACCCCAGAGCAACATAGAGAATAGACTAATGTGGGGTTAAGTGCTCAAGGAATAGAGACCACAGGAATGAATCTGTTAAGGAGCAGAAGCTCCTGGAGGAGGAATCTGGAGATGGGCCATTTCCTGAGTAATAGGTTATACCTGCCCTATCAGAGAGAAGGATGTGAGGAGAGAGAGAGTTCTTTGCTGGAGGAATTCATTTGTTGCCTTTTGTTGAAGATAAGTTTCCCCTAAAGTGTTATATATTCTTTAAAAAGGCCAAAATAGTTTTGGAATTTCCTATCTTTACATCTCATCCCAATTATACTGCTCTGCTATTTATTTATACTATTTCTTCCGAAAATGGCATTTTCCTAGTAATGGGAAAAGCAGCAGCCTGTTTTGGGGCCACATCAGCATGCCTCTTCGTCCTGGGCCTCTGTTTTTACTGCAGTTGATAACCAATGGCACGAGAGGAGAGTCACATTGTCAGACATTGTCCTTTTCCTTTATTCAGTTTCTGGTTATTTGCTGCTGGTTTCACAGGTTTTGAACTTGTTTCAGTGACTAGCTCTTTCTAAATTATAACACATTCTATGTATACCAAATTAATAAAGATTAATTTTGTTAGCTATTGAAAAAAATCATTTCAAGGATGAAATACATGTTTTGGTTAAAGGCTAGAATTTTAAAGATCAGAAGGCAACAGTAACATCAGGCTCAATACCTGAATCAAAAAAAAAAAAAAAGAAAAACCATCAATACCTGATATCACTTGATTCTGGATGTTTCTAAAACTGAAGACTATAAACTGTCACAGACAGTGATCAAATATTTCTCATTGAACAAAAGAAAAAACATACGTTTCAGAGGAGACTAGCTTCTAAAACTCCTCTCCTATGCCAAATGTCACTATGTTCTAACCATCATACATTCTCCTGTGGGATATTCTGGAAAATGGGGTATTTGTAGCAATTTAAGACTCTTTGTAAGATTGTTTTCTCTTGTGAAAGTGCATTCCGTCATTTATAACCAAAAATGTATTTATAGAGTCAAGCACTACGCTAAGCACCACCCAAGGGTAATTTAAATTTTTCTTAGCTTGCTTGTCGGGAATGGTGCCTCCTTTTGTCCTGTAGAATGGGAGCAAGCAAACTTTTTTAGAAAGGACCAGATAATATGTACTTTTGGCTTTGAGGGCCACTTAGAGTCTCTGTTGCGTAGTCTTCATAGATGCCATAGTTGGTTTTTCGTTTCTTACAACCCATCAAACATGAAAAAGCCACTCTGTATTCTGCAGCAGGCCATCCTTGCATTCAGGCATCTCCATGGAATAAGAGGGCTTGGGAAGATGAGCAGCAGGGCTAAGGAATATGGCTCTGTTAGTCAGTGTTCCAGCTGACAGTTCAGAGTGGCTTACCGGAAGCCCACAGGTTCCACTCCTTTCATGTGTATGTGTATATAAATGTACATGAACATTTATATTGGTGTTACATATATATGTATGTTGGTTATAGTTATTGTAGATGGTTACAGCTTTTAAATTGTTTGGCACATTTATATGAACTAGAAGACATTTGAGGTTCATTTTTGCACTTATGAGTCCACACACATACAGTGCTTTTACTTTTAAAATTCTCCCCATCTTTAAATTTCCTTATCTCAAAATATTTTGACCTTAAGACACAACTATACATAGAGTGAACTTTTGGTCTCAATATTATTTCATGTATGGAAACAAACTTTATGCTGCCTTCTTTCAAAGCCTTACAGTTGCCAGGGCTTTGGTGTGAAATGCACCCCTCTGCTTTTCCTGAGATGAAGTACCAGTCTTAGTACCAGTAGCCAAGCAAATTCCTTTTCACACGTAAACTGTAAAAGATGTTAAGAGGTGACTTCTGTTTGCAGAGCCTAGGATTTTTTCCTGTATCATTTTAAAATCTCTTTCATACATTCCACATTGACCCCATTTCTTAACATAGTCTGAGTCAACCTTTCAGGAGCTGCACATTTTCAGTGTTTTTTATTAAATACCTTTTCACTCAAATAAATATGCACCACATTTCAGTAGAAGGGCTTGAACATGTCTCTTTGTGGATTAGCTTTGCTCTCTGCTTGTGTGCTGACCCTACCTTTGCTCGGTTTTGTTTTATTTTGGAGGGATTTAACAAACCATCCTATCAAGTAATTTAACTCACTGAAACCAGATCGAGCATTTCCAGTGTTGCTCTATATTTACACACTGGAGGTTGCTCTGCAGAACCTGTTCGTGAATTTTTTTTTCTCCTGCTTGAACAGCATCTGCCAATTTCCCTGATATTCCACATGATGTGGAATATCCATTCTGAATTCATGCTAGAGCCTTTCCTTAACTGGTGGAAACAAATGCCATTTCAGTGAGTCTGTTTTAAAACAGCTTCTGCTGTCTATCTTGAAGAGAGAGATTTGCTTGGAATGCTGGTTTGCCTCTCAGAGAACTGTCAGCAGAATTCCGTTCAGAAAAGTGTACAGATGCTTATTTAATTATAAACAAGAACTCAGGATTGCATATGTTGGTGCAAAAGTAATTGCAGTTTTTGCCATTTCTTTTAAATGGCAAAACCTCAATTACTTTTGTACCACCCTAATATTTAATTCTGATCTCTTCTCATTCTATTTGTTCTAAATGAACACCACTAGGAAAAGAAAAAATACCAGGTATGCTTTCCAGCAACTTTTTGTTTAAACAATCACAGATTTTTTTTTTTTTAATGAAGAAAGCATCATGTGTTCAAAGCAGATATTACAGAAAAGAGCAGGTGAGGATAGATGTTCAGGTTGGTACTATGGTAGTTTTAGAAGTTTGTGGTCCTAAACTTGGAAAATGATACCTATTTTAATTCAAAATGTGGTTATTTTGAATTTATGTCTTTTCTGAAATAGGTTAGTAGCCAAGACTCATTTTCCAGTAAGAGCATTTGTTTGTATTAAATATCCCATCATTCATTGGGAGTCAGTTCTGTTCATTGAAACCCCTCTACACACAACAGTCACACAGATGAATAAGACCATTTAAAAAAAAGTTTTTTTTGAAATCCACTCAAAAACATGCAATATATTTTTGCTTTTTGTTTTTCCATTTTTTTTTAGACTGCTGTAAGAATCTAGCCTCTACTATGCTAAAACTACCAGCCCTCCCCAGGTTGATAAACCTCTACTATGCTAAAACTACCAGCCCTCCCCAGGTTGATAAATGGCAAGACTCACGAACCTCATACTGCCTTAAAATTAATGTGCTGTGAATGCCAGAAGTGGATTTTATGATCCTTGCTTTTAGGCTGGTAAACTTTGCTAGGCAGTCAATTGTTTCCCTCCATTTTATAAAAAATGAGATTTTTCTACCCTCTTATGAGCTCTTTGAGGACTTAACTAGAAGGAGTGTTCAGTATGTTATCCACAAAAACAAAAACAAAAAACAAACAAAAAAAATCACTGAAAGAATAAGCCTTCTGAGAACACAAGGCCTAGCCTATCTTAAAAAAAAAAAAAAAAAAAAAAAAAAAAAAAGCTATTCTAATGACAATGCAGAACGGATTACCTTCTTAGAAGCTTCTCAGCCAAAAGCAGCTTTGAAAACAGAGTGGCTTAGGAGACAGCATGGCTGCCTGGCTTGTCTGTGAGCCCTGTTCCAGAACAAGCTGGGCTCAGGTAATGGCTTTCTATTGTTTGGAAAAGAAAGGGCAGAAAAAGTACATAGTCTTTTCCAAGTTTCTATTCTGTAAACTGAAAATAGAAATTTTCCTTGTGAGCACAGTTTAAATGTGAGGACGTCTCAATATAAAATGAGTCGGAAAATATTTTTAAGGTGAAAGATCACAATAATATTTGGCCCAAATCCTCATAACTAGTATTTTTAGGCATCACTGAGTATATTTTTAGACCTCCAAGTGACTTCCTCAACACAAAAGTCACTTTTGTGTGCCAAATGTCATTTTGTTTGGTGTAAACAAAAACCTGGTGTCCTATCTTATGCTGCCCACTTGTGATACATTCCTGAATCCAGGTAATTGATAAAAGGAAATCATGAGACATTCTGATACTGGAATAAAACTAAAGACCTCATTTGGGCTTCTGGATATAGCAGCTGATGACGCCACCTAAGGCACTTTTACACCTATCAAGTATCTCCCTCAGTGTAGTAGCTCTTCAGAGACACAGAGGGAGTCAGATGAAATTGGCTTATTTTTTTAATTGTTCATGGCTACAGCTCTTAGAGAAATATAACTTACATTTTATTAGATTTTGGACATTTTCCAGCAGAATATTTTGGAAGAAAGAATGACGTATCTGTTTTTCTGGTGTTATCCCCCCCAAACTCTTGGTTTTGCCTTTCACCTCACAAAATTTAGCCTGTGCACGTGTGCATGTATCATACCTGCAGGCCAGACTCAGAAGAGGGGAGGCACTGCTCATCTGCGCATTTGGGGGTCTGGAGCATTTGATTTATTGGAGGCTGACTCCCTGTTCCCATGCTGCTTAGGAATGCCACATCCATTAATTTACTTGCCCTTCATATCCTTTCCCCTCCCCAACCCTAGCCCCATGTGGAGCGGTAATTGCAGCCAATTGAGGGGCTCCATTTCCTGCTCAGCCCTCTGACTGCCCGGCCTCCCTCCGAGTGCGGCGGCACATCAGGGTGATTGCATACCTGTTCTGGCTCTCACCCTTCCCTTAGTATGGTGTTCACTAGAATTGTCCCCTTGTGGGATGCCCCTTACCTTCTCCTAATCACTTGTGTGACTCAAATAGAATTATTCAGTGGCTCCTCTAAAGGAGTACCTTACACACTTGATTAAAAGCCCAAAGAGGCTTTGGTGAATTTTTTTTCTCCTGCTTGAACAGCATCTGCCAATTTCCCTGATTTTCCTGCTAATTATCTTCCTATTAGCCAGAAATCATTTACTATGTTATGGCTCAAATAAGACTGAGCACTGGCTGAGGAAATAGTAGATGTGGAGTGAGAGGTTTCTAGGATTTGCTTGACTCTAGAATATGTGTGCTCCATCTACATTCCTATTCAGAAATGGGCTTTTGTTTTTAGAACAAGGGAAATCTAAGTGGATGCCACTGGTTCTCTTCCTGCTTCTGCCAGGATGCCCTACCTAAGACAGGGCCTGTGGCATCCTCTCTAGTACTGGCACTTTCCCTTCTCTAAAATTAAAAGGGGTCAAGAGCCTGGCCTTCCAGGCGAGCCAGCAGGTTCATATTCTGGCTCTGTCACTGGATAACTGAGTGTCTTTGGGCAAGTTTATTTAACTTTTTTAATAGTTTCCTCACCTATAAAATGTGAGTAATATGTATCCAATAGGATTGCTGTTCATCATGGTAACCTATAAAAAGGGCATCTGGAACATAATAGGTACTCAATAAGCGATAGTGGTTGTTATTATTAGGTCTGTTTTTGACAACTTAGAATTGTTTTTGCACTTTACAGAGTATTGGTAGACTCACATTTTTGAACTCCTTTTGTATAAATAGGGAAAGTAACCGAGTGTACAAATCTCCATTCCTCAGTGTTTAAAGAGAAACCAGAATCAGCAGTGTTCTAGCATCAGTTTGCTTTCTTTGGACATTCCACTCAGGTTTAATAATCATACTGATCTCAAGAACCGCACAAAGATGAACACACACATAAACTCACATACACATAGTCAGCTTGTATGTACATAAATTGTTCATTACCTCTTAGAATATGGCATAATAGATTATATGTAGATGAAATAGATCCCTTAGACTGACTCATTTTGAGGGAGATTTCTCCAAAACCTAAAATGTAACATGTAAAATCTAAATATTACAATTTTGCAAGTATCTACCATTGTGGGGTAGGTGGGTTAGCCAGTGATTTGGATTTGGGGCTCAGTTATTTTTGATGAGACCATTATTGAATCTTTGAAAATATTGTTGAATTACCAGTTACTATCTCCTAGACAAATGCATCAGAAATTGAAGGTAGAAAGAGTTTTAACAAAATACAAAATCTAATTTGTTAGAACATAACAATTCTAATAATTTATGAGATGACAGTAAATCTGGCACATTGGTTTCATAGAATTTTAAGTCTGGCTCTAGATGTCCTAATTTTCTAAACCAGGTTTTTTTCTTTATAAAAAACAACATAAAAAGTATTTATTATGTGGAAGAAGTTGTATGCATGAGCAGATTTGTTTTGCCCAAGTTTCTACAGATGGGGTTGGTTGCATCTGGTAATTGGATACAATTAAATGTTTGATAAAGTTTCAGTAATATGTACCCAAAAAATATAAAGTACAAGAATAAAAATTCCATTTTCTTTTTGTTCCAGGTTCTCTGGGAGATGCTAACAAGGGAGGTCCCCTTTAAAGGTTTGGAAGGATTACAAGTAGCTTGGCTTGTAGTGGAAAAAAACGAGGTAAGACTACGTTTCTCCATTCAGGTACATAGATCAGAAAACAGTATTGGGGTTTTGCAAAAGACTTTTTCATCTTCTTCAAATTGAAAGTAAGTTCACGCTTATGGAAAGATTAGCAGTAGGAGCTAACACAAAGGGTCAAAGTGATGTTATTCCTCATGAATGGACCCTTTACATCTAATTGTTGCAGCTTCACGTCGTGATGCTGTAGATCAAAAATTGTACAAGTACTGTACTAGTTTCTCAGTCTCAATTGTAAAACCTAGGGGTTTGTTCTTAGTGATGAAAGAAGCCATTGCGTCCAAGGTAGGGGAACAGTTTAACTCCATCTCCTGCGTTTAGGACATCTTTTTTACTGGCCGGGAGTTGATATATCTGTAAGAGACCTTCAGCTACTTCAACTTACCTCTCCCAGCAGGAGTCACTATAGTACAAGAAACTGTCGCTTAGATGAGAATTTCAAAAATAAAAGAAGAAAAAATAGTTTCAAAAAAGGGAAAAATTACAGTTTTGCCACCTACGTTGAACACTACATTGAAGATGAGCTCCTCACTGGAATTGGCGAGGCAGTGGCATAACTGTTCGCTTCTTCATGCAGAGCCTTTCCATTTCAAAAGAACTTCAGTGGCGTAAACACCGTTTGTGCTGTGTCCCCAGCCTCGCTTCTCTTCTTCCCACAAATTGAGGCTTTCAGTTAGTTGGACCTATGAGCCTACATCAGAGAACATGGTACATTCATATCAAAGAGAGCAACTACATTTTGAAAGGTTTAAAATTGTGACTGAAACGCACAGCCATGGAAATTCTCAGCATAAGGATGAAGCATCCAATATCAAGGTATTATGAGAACTTAGATCATGTAATGGAAGCAAGCAGTTGTCTTTGCAATGCAAAACAACTTTATTTCACAAAACTTCTTCGTTTCCAAATCTTATCTGTGCTCTCCACAAAGGGCAAGACTGCAACCTTAGAAAAAAATAATTTGCAAAAAGGTGAATATAAAAAAAATCCCTTTTTAATGCTCTGAAAGAGTTAGATTGAACTGCTTCCCAGGTGAGTGCAGGAACAAACTAGATTAATCAAAAAGCTGCTATTGACTAGGAGAAACCAAGTTTTCATCTTTTAGATCACATAATCCGGAGTTACCATATAATTTGTCCTCCTGATTCACTGGGAGTGGATGCAATGTTGATGATAGCTGAAATTGATGGGAAAGAGCTGCCAATTTAAGAAATAAAAAGGAGTTACATGCAAGAATGTGCCTTATTCATTGTTTCACAGTAGCTGTTCTGTTTTAATTAAAAGGGCTAGTAATCCCTCATGTGCTATTAAATAAGATCTAACACACAGGATAACTGATACCGTCATGACATGAGGACATACTTGTTTCTGTTCTATTTCTTTTGCCAGTGAGATCATCAGAGATCTGGTTCTGGGTTTACAAATAAAAGCGAAGAAAATTACGGGCCTTGTGTTGGCTCTGGAACCAAAACATTCAGTGTAATCTTTTCCCGCTGCACTATTCCAAGATAAACTAGGAGAAAGGTTGTTGTTTTTTTTAAAGCTAACTAGACCCTCCAAATGGATAAGACAGAATAATTAATATATTAAAATAAGTTATCTAAAGGGTGCCAGAATAGATATAAATTGAAAGCACTTTTTAAAACATTGGAGTATCTGCAAAGGATTTTTTAAAGCTGACGAAAAATGAATTTAGAAGCTGCCTGGATAGTTGACTTGAGGATCAGAAATCTCCCATGAATAACCTTCAGAACCTCTTCAACTCTTTGCATAAGGAAGCAATCTTCTTTTTCCCTAGAGATCCCAGAAAGTAGAGTTTACTATTTTATTCATGATACATTCTGATGATCAGCTTATAACTGACAAAGACTACACAAATACCTCCCACACTGTATTCATTAAATATCATAGCAAGTTGAAAAAAGTCTACATGGTGAAATACATTTTTTCAACTTTCTAATGAACTTCAGTAAAATTGGGTATTACAAGGATATTTATCCGCTGTTCTCATTCTGTACAATATTTCTCAAAAAAAATGGAAATGAAGTTTCAATGTAATTTTCAATATCATCATTCAAGAAGGTATCTTCATATCACCTCACAAATGGAGGTATCCATTTCCAAAATAAATTCTGTCGACATAGTAATAATTTCCAAGGATTTATTTCATTTCATAACAAAATTGAGACTTTGACTTAAATAAATATAATTTACAAAATCCCTTCAACTTCTAATTCTTTTACTTTATTTTTACTATTAAATATTTTGGGTTATGGGTTGAAAAGAGAAAGTCATATTTTTAACAGGCCTCATTTAAATAAAGAACGACATGTTTAAGTGTTCAGGGAGATATTTTAAATGTTATCTAATTATCTGTAAAATCTATATCCAAGCATTATGGTTGTCTTTTTAAAACTTTTTATTTTGAAATAATTATAGACTCTCAGGAGTTTGCAAAAATATTACAAAAAATAAAAAAATTAGCTGGGTGTGGTTGTGCATACCTGTGTTCCCAGCTACTGGGTTGGCTGAGGCAGGAGGATCCCTTGAGTTCGAGAGGTCAAGGCTGCCACCATTATCGCACCGCTGCACTCCAGCCTGGGTGACAGAGTGACACCCTGAATTAATTTTTAGTAGAAATGGGGTTTCTCCATATTGGCCAGGCTGGTCTTGAACTCCTGACCTCAAATGATCCACCCACCTTGACCTCCCAAAGTGCTGGGATTACAGGCATCAGTCACTGCGTCTAGTCAAAAGAGTTTTTTTAATTAACAAAACTAAAGTAGTTTCTGTTCTCTTCCCCCAGCTTCCCTCACTGGTGACATCTTACATGTCGATAGTATACTGTCAAGACCAGGGAATTGAGACTGGCACACTCTTACCCAGACAGTGGGCCTCATTCATTTTCACCATTTAAGATTACTTTTCATATCTATAGAAAAATCGATACTTTCTAAAAATTATATCTGAAGATCTTTGCTTCTACTCCCTTAATAATGAAATAAGACATTTAAGCAATCATTTTTCTAATATTAAATCCTATTAAAACCAGATTCATAAAGCACTACTAAACTTTACACAGTAAACAGTGAACCTTTACAGAAGGCATGAAATGAAGAGGGCATTACTAATAAATGTTTTAAATGTAACAGATAGGTATATTTGCTTTTATCATTTCCATGGAACTCAATCTGTAGTCATTCAGAATGTTCTGGAGCATAATTTCTATTTTTATAAATACTTAAATTCTTACATATACTGTGTTTGAATTTGACTAACATAGAAATCTTCATAAAACTTAATCCACTGCTCTTGACTAGCCTTTAGAAAAAGATAAAAACTTGACTTTAAAAAAAATGTTTACCTCTTATGTAGAAAGTGGTGCAAAAATGAAGACGGTCTTTAAAATATGTCATGCCTAATTTGGTGATTGGGAAATATTTTAATTTGAAACTTTTATTTTAAAATATTTAAGTGTTAAGTAGTATTGCAAACCTGGTGCTAAGATCTGGCTATTTCAGAATGTTTTAATGTATTAGGAATGCCCACAGTTATGTAATCAGGACTTAAATACTTTGGATTCTATTTTAAAGTACTTTATAATGCACCAAAATAATCCATTATATAAAGTGAGTCTAGATTAAACTGATATTTGACCATGTCCAATTATTTAAAATAATTGTGTCTCCTTGTATAGTGACTTCCATGTGGCATCTAAGCAGTTTTTCAGTAAGGAAAGATCACAGAAATCATCCTCCATATTCAGCCAGCTCACATCCAGTTCTCAGAAAAAGGTTGAGACAAAGTTGTATTGAAAAATGTTACCCTTGAGGAAGACTCATTATTTTTAGCTACAGAGTACATTCAAGTGCGTAATTGCAATTGTAGTCTGTTTTTATTAGTCCCCACCTCCTGACCATTTTATATTTTAAAAAGTAAACGCCTGAATTTTTTTTGCCTTCATCAAAAGGTCTGCAGTTTACATTACAGTAAAATAATAGTACAGTTTAATATATCTCATTCTATTCTGTGAAATCAGGAGCCTAGAAGTTTAAAAGTGCTTAGCATGGCCTTTAGTGTGGAGAGAGTTTTGTTTTTCACTTTTGTTTTGTTTTGATTTTAGGATTATCTGTAATTCCTAATACAAGTTGTCAGCAACTATGTTTCTAGTTTCACACATAGCCTCCCCCAAATCCAGCTAAGTTCAGCTTTAAGTTTGTTATTTGCAAAACTTCTTGGGCAAACAAAACGGAAGTAAGTGTTAATACTTCTTAGTACAGCAGTTCTCAACTCCATCACACCCAGTGCTCATTTTATAACAATTATGTTAACAACCCCTTATGCTCCTTTGAGGTGAAACTCAAAGGTAACGTAACTGCCTACACACATTATATTGTAAGTTAACATAGTGCTCTAGCTGTAATATAAAAGAGAAATAAATGTCAGATGTTTTCCAGCATTCAAATGCTCGAGCATGACGACACTAGAGGAGATAATGGAACAGTTTAGGGGATAAATAGAACTCAGCAGCTACAAATGCAGCCAGATGGAGTTGGGTTGTATTAATGACTCCAGTACCTAGGGAGTGGCACTGTCGTTGATATTTGTCATAAGAATCCTGCAAGAATTAATAAGCCTTTATTTTATTTGGTAGATGCATTCTGCAAAGTTCAGTGTATCTTCAAACTGTTCAGAAAATACTTTGTGTTTATTTGTAAATTAGATTCTAGGCCCAGAAAATTATAAACCTAATTGTTTGCTTGTTTTACTTACATGAATGTAAATGGGGCATTTGAAATTTTGTGTGATACAAGGGAGTTCTTGGTCATGCAGGATGTTATGATATATTGAAGGGTCTAGCATTCCTGACCTGTTATGCTTAAAAGTCAGTTGCAACCAACCAGTCTCTAAAACAAACAAAAATGCTTCTGTGGAATAGAGGTACCACATGTTCTATGAGAACTACTGTAGGATGTTAGAACAGGACCCAGCCTCATATTCTAATTTTTGTTGCATTGGGTCCTTACAGTATATGGGTTTGACCAAAACAAAATCATAATCGGTTATAGGTTCAGATGATCTTATTTACCAATGAGAAATGCAGTTCTTTAAAATTCTCTGATCTGTGCTCAGATCTTTTCAGAGTTGTATACCTACTGCCAAAGCTAAACTGGTTTCCTAGTTACCTGGCCTTACATATATCGTAAGTTTCCTATAAAAGAACAATGACTTGTGGTTTTATATTTAGTATTTCAGTTCCAACTGGTTCCTCTCCTACTGTGGTTTGAGATATTTGATGTTTTGTTGCATTAGTTATACTCAACCTGACTTCTGTTTACTACAGTTGTCTTTTAAGAAAAATTATGAGTCTTTAAAGATTACAAATGTAAACATAAATTCTCACCTATCATATATTAATCAATGGAAGCTTTAAATTTCACATCTTGATTATGTTATTAAATTGACTCTATTATGAACCTTCAGATAGTGTTTGCTTACCTTAATGAATCAATTCTGTGTTTTGTTTTGTTTTGTTCTCTTTTGTAGAGATTAACCATTCCAAGCAGTTGCCCCAGAAGTTTTGCTGAACTGTTACATCAGTGTTGGGAAGCTGATGCCAAGGTATATATACGTATTTTTGTTATTGTTTAGAATTTTGAAATTTCTCTTGTTTGGCTTTCAGTTTTTAAGACTTAGGATACAAAGCAAAGCTGAATTGATGCTCCTAAGAGCCCCAGATTGACTGTTAAAGTTTCCTGTTGACATCGCTTAATCTTCATCTCTAGTGACTCATTATTAACTCATTCATACAGCATACTTTGACATTCTGGAGTCAGAAAAAATAATTTTATTATTTTGTTAATTTTTAGTAATAACTATTGCACCTACATGCTATTGAGATGTCTAAGACACAGTACTTATGCCAGGTACTGTCCCACACACTTCATGTATGTTAACGCATTTATTCCTCAAAATCTCTCTATGAAACAGAGGCCACAATTATCCTCCTTTTACAGATGAAGAACCAAGACATACAGAGGTTACATCATGAGCTCAAGGCCACACAGCTGGTAGGGAGTAAGGCTGGACATGAACTACGTCTGGCATAGTCCCTGCTCTTAACCACTGCACTATTTTGCCTTTCTAGCCAAAGAGCAGGCAAAAGTAGTACTTCTAGAGAATCTTGCTATGTACTCCGTGTCCAGCTTCAGTGATGTTTTGAGCTATCACAATAGAGTTGGAGAAATTCCAAAACTTAAGCTTTCATGTGGTTATCACATTTGAGCATGAATGGCCCATTTCCTTTCCCTGCAAAGATCACTTTAAAAGACTCTTGCATACATATGGAAATATTTACAGATAAAATGATAGGCTAGTCTTGGATTTGCTTCAAAATAAAGGGAAGGGAAATGGATGATGGTATAGATTAAACAGGTTTGGCCATGATAATTTTTGAAACTGAGTGATAGTATATAGAGGTTCATTATATTGTTCTCTCTACTTCTGTGTATTTTGGAATTTTCCATAATGAGTTAAAAAATAAAAAATATCCTCACAGATTAAACATTGGAATAAGAGCAGTTACACTCCAGAAAGACATAAAAATGTTACAGTTTAAATTTGTCCAGTTTTTTGTGGAAATAGAGGTATTACAACTGATCTTTTAAATAGAGACTTAAAAAAAGACTAAAGAATCTAGTTTCTTACTGAATTTCAACCCTGTTCCAATCTAACCCTCAAGAATGAATGGCCATAAAATACAGTCTGTTCTTCTACAATATGTTTCGTTAGTGGGAATAACTCAGAAGCCATTGGTGAGAATGGAGACTGGGGACTATGTTAGTGTAACTCAGAATTCACGTTGATTGTTCAAAATGTTTCCCAACACATTGTTCCACACTGAGCACAGAGTAAAATAATCCAGCCAACAAGGCAGCAAGGGACCCAGTGCCGTGAAGCCTGTTCACTCCATGTGCTCCTTCTCGGCTTGGCTTAGCTTGACTTGGAAGAACTTGTTGCTGATTCTCCCAGCAACAAATTGTGCTGTGTACATGTTGCAAAATCTTTGCTTTCACTCCTATCCTTTAGACTTCCTTTGCCCTTTATTTTTTGAGTAGAGTCCTAGATATTCTTAGTTTTGTTTTTGCTAAAGAATCATGTTTTTAAACTGTGTTACTATCTTATTTAGGATTGTTACTCTTTTTAATAGTATTTGGTGGCAAAGTTGCATGGTCTTTGAATGGTCTGCCCTGCTCCTATTTAGGCCCTATAATTTTTAGTACATGATTTTGCAGAATGGGTATTTTTAAGCATGAAAAGAAATGCCTACATTTTGCAACTAACTCAGTAGAAACTATAAGCAGGTATTTTCAAGCTTGCTTTAAAACGTTTTTTTTTTAACTGTTAAAATAGTATCATACTGACCCTTCCCTACCCTTCCTACTAGTTATATGTCCATTGTGACATATAAGTCATTTTGGACATATGTTTCTCTCTGATACATATCTTGCCTGAAATTGTTTGCATTGAATTTGATTATTGCAACTATATCTCTATAACTCTGATTACATTTCAGTATGCAAAGCAAGTTTTGAATTTCTTAATTGAGCACTCAGTACCACATTAATTAAAATTCTCAGAATGTACATTTGTGGTACATTAATGAAATGATCCTATCTATAATCACCTTACCCAACAAGAACATTAGGCCCAGTGCTGAAGCCATGCAGCTGGCATTTCTTTAGCATGTAGTAAGCTAACCCTTCTTCAGGGCCAAGGAAATCTTGCATCCCAGCCACATGAGGTATAAAGGAAGTTTAAAATTGATTTTTATCTTCTAAATTCATGACATTTCATTCTGATTAAACAGTGACATGCCCCCGCATTTGATTTGGTCGCATACCTGGCCACAGCCCACGTTTCCAGCTCTCTCACTGCTGATCTCCTCTAGACATGCCTTCCATACTTTCATTCCCCAAACATGGTCTCTTCCTTCTTTTCTTTCTCCTTGAGTACTTCATCAAGTCTTCCTTGGTTGTTCTGTTTACTCAACCCCAGGCTTAGTATTTCTTTTCCTAAACCACAGTCTGGGCCTTACCTCGTACAGCTGTATGTTTTAAAGATGTATTTTCTTCCTACATGGACTACAAGTTTTATAAAGATGTAGAGGTAGTTGTTACATGTATTTCCCTATTGCACATTATATCCATATAGAAAGTAGATGCCCAATTTGGTTGTTGCCTGAAGTAGGCAGACCACAGTAAATTTCCTGAGAGGTACCTCCATGTACCGGGTAGAAATATGTAACAATTCAACCAGAAGTTAGTTCCAGTCCTATGCACATAAGATAGAGCAATAAAGTACTTTCTTTTTTTAAAATCCTTAGATTTATAGAGTATTAACATCTACTTTAAAATAGTCAGCCCACCTGTAGAGCTAGTGTTCTTTTGCAATGAGGGTCGAAGGCAGGGGTGGTGATATATGCAAGAGAAAGCTGGTATTAGGTAAATGTCAAGTCTTTTTAGTGGCTTACAACAGGTGCTCAGAATGTTTAATTTAAGAGAAGGAGAAAGAAAGGAAAGGTGGGTATTGGTTCAGGTCCTAAAATGACATTTCTAAATAAGGAAAAAAATAAGTTGGCCAGATGCAGTGGCTCACGCCCATAATCCTAGCACTTTGGGAGGCCGGGGTAGATTGCCTGAACTCAGGAGTTCGAGACCAGCCTGGGCAACATGGTGAAACCCCATCTCTACTAAAATAGAAAAAATTAGCCAGGCATAGTGGCGTGCATCTGTAGTCCCAGCTACGGGGGAGGCTGAGGCAGGAGAATCGCTTGAGCCCGGGAGGTGTAAGTTGCAGTGAGCCGAGATCGTGCCACCGCACTCTAGTCTGAGTGACAGAGTGAGACTCTGATTCCAAAAAGCAAAACAAAAATAAGTTAAAGTCGTGAGTTTAATCCCTTACACGATAAAAGATGTTGAGGAGTTTAAGAACAGAGCCCCTGGTTCTGTAACTTGCCTCCTGTTTGATGCTGGGCACTTCCTACTCTTCTAAAACTTATTGTCCTTACTTATAAAATGAAGATAACATATAGAGAAATAACGTATGTAGCTGCTTCACAAATGGTCCCAGTTTTTATTTAACTTTTAAATAAGCAAAGCCTATGTAATGCCTAAAAGGAACCTAATCCCCTTCCGAGAAATTTATATAAGAGCCTAGACCAAATGTATTCAGTAACCAGAATACTCATTGAATATTATTACCACAAAAATCTATATTGTTATCACCTCTTAAATGTTCACTTTGATAACTTCTATCAATGTAGGCTTTGACTATAAGATTAAATTTTTTTCTTGGGATGCTGGTTATCCAATTACAGAAGAGTTGCACCTTATTTTAAGAATGATTAAATGTAGAGAATTGTTCTTTAAAAGTTACCTCCTCCTGCTACTTTTCCTTGCAAAATGAAAATCCTTTATTATATAATTAGTTCTTATGCAAACTATTAAAACATTTTTCCGGCCAGTCACAGTGGCTGATGCCTGTAATCCCATCACTTTAGGAGGCTGAGGCAGGAAGATCACTTGGGACAAGGAGTTTGAGACCAGCTTGGGCAAGATGGCAAGACCCCTTCTGTACAAAAAAACTAAAAAATTAGCTGGCCATGGTGCCAAACACCTTTAGTCCCCACCACTTGGGAGGCTGAGGCAGGAGGATTGCTTGAGCCCCAGTGGTTGAGGCTGTAGTGAGCTATGATCATGCCACTGCATTCCAGCCTGAGCAACACAGCAAGACTCTGCCTCTCTTAAAAAAAAAAAAAAAAAAAAAAATCATTTTAAAACCCAGTACATGCTGGGAAAAATTAAGAGGAGGACAAAATTAAGATAAACAGAGCATTTTTAAGGCATTTTTCTCTTTGCTTATTAGAAGGCTTAATATATATCTTTAACATTTCTCTATGAATGCTCTCCTCTAAAGACAGACACACACATGCACACAAGTGCCCTTATTCACGAGAAGGATAATGGCAGAACTCAATTTATATCCTGGGTTTTTATATTTCTGAGAAATGGAAAAATTGCTTTTCTTAGTAATGTAGGAAGCACTGAAATCCTGAGAGCAAGCCACCTCAACGTTATTTCTTGTTTTGGTGCTCTTAAATTAAAATGCATGTTTTAATTGCTGCAACTATAATTTGTTCAGTAATGGTGTAATTACGAGGCATGATGAAGACAGAATGTGCATCATCCTTTTTATTATCTTTCTCTCTTTGTTTTAACCTTTTGTCTCAACCTTGGCTAGAGTCTAAAGACACAGACTAGAATAGTTACTGCTAGCCAAACACACTTAACCACTGCTCATTTCTAGTGAGCAGTACCTTATAGTGTCTTTCCACTCCAGCCAGTTATAACAGAAAATAAATACTGAGAACAGTGAAGTTATGATGGCTTTAAAATCAGGGGACTGTTTTCTTTTTTTTTTTTTACTTTTAGGTTCAGGGGTACGTTGCCAGGTTTGTTATATAGGCAAATTCTGTGTCATGGTGGTTTGGTGTATAGAGTATTTCCTCACCCACGTAATCTTCATAGTACCTGAATTTTGTTTTCTGACAAACCAATGTGGACAGTTTTATTAGTTCCAATAGATCGATAGGTAGATTTTCCACCAACACTTTATCATAAAAATTTTCAAACATGAAGTGGAAAGAATTTTACAGTGAACACTAACATACCCACCACACACCCTGTACCATTAACTTTTTACCATATTTACCACATAGATTTTTAAAGGACTTTTAAACTCCTTTTAGGAGTTCTTAATCATAACTAAAAGAATTAGTGTTCTCTCTTCCTGGAAAAAAACACAAATTATCCCAACCTTAGACCGCATGAGAGAAAAACAACATCTGAATCTCCCCTTGTGAATAATTCACTGAAAATAGAGAATACGGTTCCTTAAACCCGAGTGATCTAATGATTGTAAGATAACTATATCAGGACATTGTATCATGTTTTATTTTGTTAAGGTGGGTTGAGTTTATTACTATGCTTGTAGATATTTACGTTTTCTCTTAAATATCTCAAGTCCCACCAAATGATTACTTATTTCCTCTTCTTCAGAAACGGCCATCATTCAAGCAAATCATTTCAATTCTGGAGTCCATGTCAAATGACACAAGCCTTCCTGACAAGTGTAACTCATTCCTGCACAACAAGGCGGAGTGGAGGTGGGTAGCCCTGACACCCCGCCACAGTGTCTGGCTTTGAATGATCATCACTCGTCTCAATGAAGAAGAGAACCAGAGGTCTTAATGACAGTCCTGATTTCTGAGCATGGCATAGGGAAAAAGAAAAATTTTTTTTTTATGATTCTGGAAATCTTGTAAGTCCTGCATTTCATAAGTAAGCAAGAGTTTCTCCAAGGTTGTTGCCTTGTGTAGGTATTTGAAAAGAATCTTGAGGCTGGGCGTGGTAGCTCACACCTGTAATCCCAAACCTGGGAGGCCAAGGTGGGTAGATCACCTGAGGTCAAGAGTTCAAGACTAGTCTGACCAACATATAGAAACCCCATCTCTAATAAAAATATTAAAAAATTAGCTGGGCATGGTGTTGCATGCCTGTAATCCCAGCTACTTGGGAGGCTGAGGCAGGAGAATCACTTGAACCTGGGAGGTGGACATTGCAGTGAAGCTGAGATCGTGTACTGTACTCTAGCCTGAGTAATGAGCAAAACTTTGTCTCAAAAAAAAAAAAAAGAATGCTGAAATCGTATCTTCTGAGACAAAAGATGGTTAGATTTCTCTGTGTTTACTCTTTGTTAGGAAGCTTGGCCTCTGTTCCGTAAGAAACAAGAATACTGTTTACCTTGAAATTTGCAGAGCACTTGTGTCGGCTGGTGGAGGGGGATAGGGATAATATAGAAAACTTTGGATGTCATAAATCCTATTAAAGCTTGTTAAACAAACTTAGTAATGAGAAAACTATATTGTATGAGTGGAAGAGTAAACCCAGGATCAAACATTTAAGCCAGGTCACATGATGCATGAATATAAATAGCATGTTTGGAAGCTGACATTATTCCCCTCCTGACTCAGCAGAGATTTAGGTAACTTCATCTCTGCTCCAGATAGCCATGGCAGTAACATGACGCCTTACGCCATCTGCTGATGCAAAGTGAACACTGCATGCACTTTGAAAACTACTGCATTGTTTACTCCTGTTGCTAGATATTTTTTTGGGCTGTTTGTTGTTTTATAATAACCTTATTTATTTTTATTTTTTTGAAATATCTATCTAGTACCAGTGAGGTAAAAAAATTTTTATTTACTAATTCAAAAGTTATACAGTGAGCTCAAGTATAGGTATGAGAGACTTTTTTCTGGGCTGAGATAATTAATAAAACAAAGCATGTAAGTAATATTTGTGTTTTGCAATAAGAGATCAGTATACCTGTCATCAGATCACTGTCCTTTAAAATCCATATATGAGTTCCTATTAATTTTAAGACAAAGACCAGAATACTTGGTATGGTGGCTCATGCCTGCAATACCAGCACTTTGGGAGGCCAAGGCGGGTGGATCACTTGAGCCCAGGAGTTTAAGACCAGCCTGGCCAACATGGCAAAACTTCATCTCTACTAGAAATACAAAAATTAGCCGGACATGGTAGCACACACCTGTAGTCCCAGCTACTCAGGAGGCTGAAGCACGAGAATTGCTTGAACCCGAGAGGTGGAGGTTGCAGCAAGCCGAGATCATGCCACTGTGCTCCAGCCTGGTGACAGAGTGAGACTCGGTCTCAAAAAAAAAAGACCAGAATACTTAAGAAGACTCACAAGACCCTCTGTACTCTGGCCTCACCAGCGTCAGCTTAAGATCATTCTCCCCTTAATTTCTAGCTTTCAGTCCCTCAACACATGCATATTTCTCCCCCATTAAGGGTCTTTGCAAGTACAGTTTCCTTTCTTTAAAACGTATCCCATTTTAGCTGCTCACCACACCTGCCATCACACCCCACCTTGACTCCTGTTCATCATTCACATAGCAGTCGAATAACACATCTGCAGGGGAACGCTTCCTGACACCAGGCCAGACCAGGTTCCACTTTGTGTGCTCTGAGAGCATCTCCTTCATAGGCTTTACTGCTATTGGAATTAAGAAGTACTTCAGCAGTTGGTGTTTAATGTGTGTCTCGCCGGCTGAAATGTAAGAGAGGCAGACAATCACATTTGTTCATCACTCACAGCATCTAAATGTGCCTTGAACACAGCATTTGCTCGGTAACTATTTGGGGAAGCAAGGGAGAAAATTACTATGGTAGTAATAATATAAAAAGACATTATGATATTATGCAAGAGAATATAAGTTGGAGATTTATATTCTCTAATTTTTATTGGAGACTATTAATGTAAGTTAATTTGTTTGCCATGACAAAAGTACTTCTTATATTTATTCATTCATTCATTGAACTTCTGCTGGTGTGAGAATGACTGCTGCCATTCTGGTACTGGGCCGTAGCAATGAGCACAAGAATTCCAGGGCACATGGAGCTCTCCAGCCCAAGTGTCCAATGTTAAACTATTAAATATATTAAAAACTATCTCATTTCTATTTTGACAAGTATTATGAAAGAGAAATACTAGAGGTCTGAGAGCATATAGCCATAAAATCTGATCTAGTACAAGGATGTAATAAAAGAATTCTAGAGAAAATGCTATTTGATCTATTATCAAAGGGATTAGTTGAATTTTAATACCAAGCTAGGGAGTTTTTTAAAGTAAGTCAACAAATCCAGGTGTGGTGGCTCACACCTGTAATCCCAACACTTTAGGAGGCCAAGGTGAAAGATTGTTTGAGCCCAGAAGTTCGAGACTAGCCTGGGCAACATAGAGACCTCATCTCTACTCACAATTAAAATTAGCTGGGCATTGTGACTCTAACTCCCAGCTACTCGGGAGACTGAGGTCTGAGGATCACTTGAGCTGGGGAGGTCGAGGCTGCATTGAGCCAAGATCATACTACTACACTCCAGCCTGGGCGACAGAGTGAGATCCTATTCAAAAAAAAAAAAAGAAAGAAATTGGAAGCCTGTGCAAAAATGTGTGGACACTTATTCAGCAAAGCATCATTGAGAACAATAAACCAGAAATGGTATAAAGTGCAATAAACAGAAAAATAAAAATGACGATATCTCTATGCACATAATAACGTGGTCATTCCTAAAAACACAGATCTGATCAATGATTTAAGAGTTAAGCCTATAGTCTAGTTTGTTTAGAATGATTCTATTTTTTATAAAATACATATTGTGTATATGTACATAGAGAAAAGTATCAAAAAGTCAGTGTTATGACTGGGTAATGGGATTATAGAGAATTTTTTTATTTGTATAATTTTATTTCCTAGTTCTTCTACAATAAGCATGGACTAGTTGAATGAAAAATTCAATTTTTAAAATGCTTGAAGATGAAAAGTGAAGGAAATAAAATTGATGATTGAGAATGGGGGGAAAAAAGGAGGTAAAATAGTGACGTATTTTAGTAAAAGGCATACAGTTGCCTAAAGGGTCTCCTCATCTTTCAGGAACTGTTAATCCTCATCTGAGAGCTGGAGAGAGAATATATATCTTGACCCGAACCAGTAAACCACAGTCTGAGAAGCGGCAGAGCTATTTTCACTGAAGTAGGCAATTGGTTAAAAACAGAGAGGACTATAATAGTAATTTTAATAATAATAAACACAGTTGTCACTTATTAGGTTCTTACCAGATGCTTGTACTTCATTTAGATTTTCTTTTTTAATCCCCATAGCAACCCTAAATTATACAACAGATGCAAAGGTAAATTGAGTAACTTGCTGAAAATCATACAGTGCTGGGATGGCCCTGGAAACAGAACCCAGGTGGTCTGGTAACACGGGCCTGCCCTTGCACCCATGCTGTGCAGTGCAGTTACTGACTTGTGGCCGCTGTCAGGCTGTCTTCTCATTAGCGTGCAACATTCACTTGACTGGATTCCTTTTTAGCTAAGAGAAATATTAATATTACAGGGCATGATCATTTTAGGTTATTAAGGCAAACGGACTAACTCAGTGTCAACCACTGAAAAGAATTATGTGTTTCTATCAGATAATCTCAACATTTCAAAAGACAACACATTCAGACTACTCCCTTTTTCCCCCCAACTTTTATCTAGTGTCTGAAATCACCTGACTGGTGTCCAAAGAGTGTTTTAGTAAATTAGAATCACAGTGATCACAGTGAAGCCTGATTCCCATCCTGCTGTGGTGTTTCTGGCAAATGATTATTTTCTGGTAGAGCTTCCTCTACACATAGACCAGATGCAACTTGTATTTTTAGAAAATTGGATGGTTATTCTGAAGACTCTTTTTAAAACTACATTATTGAAAACCACATAAAGTGAGTTCTTTCCTTTGACCTAATAAATCATAGTAACAAAATCTAGTGTCAGACCTTTCCTCATTCATTAGATCTTCAGCTAGTTTCTCCTCCCATTGACTTACTAGTAATAATGGCAATGAAAATTAAGAACGGAAAATGGAGTGCTCGCCTCGGCAGCACGTATACTAAAACTGGAACAATACAGAGAAGATTAGCATGGCCCTTGTGCAAGGATGATAGCAAATTCGTGAAGTGTTCCATATTTTCTTCCATTTTCTAATGTCCAAGAGGGGGGAAACTGAGGCCCCTGTAAGTGAAGGCACTGACCCCATTGAGGAATATTCCTACTTCCAAATCCATTCCCACCTCCTCCAAAAAAAAAGAAAAAAGCAGAAAATGTGTCATCCTGCTTGTCCTGTTTTAGATTTTCATTAACCACGTGATTGTAGATCTGTGGTACCTACACTGAACGAGCCACGCCGTGTTGTGACAGCGTTCAGATCTGTTTCTCTTGGCAAAACACTTTGTGGGTTGTGTTTCCCGTGGTGACCAAAGTACTCTCACTCTGACATGCCTTCTTAAAAACAAAAAAGCAGAGATAAAAAAATGTAACCTTTGCAATCTGTGCAATGTTAGCACAAATCATGTAATATATAACACTACATTTAATAAACAGATTATACATTTATCATGTAATATAGATTCTACATCACTCTTTTTACAAATTGACCTTTTACTTCAAAGTAAGTTTCTGTCTGATGAAAGAAGATAATTAGAGTTCATTGCCTGGTTTTGGCATATGGAAAATTGATACTAGTTGACATTGACCTTGATTGGATTTGGCTTATGAGAAGACCATAATTTTCATCAACTAAGACATTTAAACTATATTTTTAGAACAAGGAGGTTAAATAAATATGTCAACAAATGCATTTGATGCAAAACAATGCACCAAAAAAACCAAGGGAGCAGCTGCTTTTATGTCGTCCCCGGGTTGGGGTTACGCCTCTAATGGTGTATCACCTCACACATGATTTCATACTCCGGGGTATTGGGAGGCTGTGGGAAAGCTGGGCCTGAGGAGACAGACTAGGAAGGAGATTGACTCGGTGTCTGTTTGTGTCACAGCTTTCCGTTTATTTAACTCTTGATCTGTTTTCCAGAAATGCTCAAAATTGTAGTAGGCTCCCAGAGTGGGAACTTATTAAGATGCATCTTTGGCTTAAACGACAAGTGAAATTGAATGTAGAGGCCATTTACCCTGGTCTAAAAGAACATCGGTGAGATTAGTCTCGCTGGCAGGGGCATGGGGACTGGGTTGGCAGAAGCGCCGCATAGATGCTGGTCCAGGCCTCTGCCATCACACACTGAGCCCACCCAGCTCCACCACCTACTTGCCACCCTCTGACTGCCTCACTGACTGAAGATGGCTCGCTCTTTCCTTTTTTGTGTGACAAAAGTTTACCCTAAGGGTTTTCATGACTTTTTCCTCTCAGTCCTCCATTGAAAAATAAACTTTATGTGCATAGGCATAATATTTTTGTCAGAAATATCAGGGATAAAATTTGGATTTTATGATAGTCATAATTCTGAAAGATTGCTGATTCATTGCATTCTTTAGGGACTATAATATGACTTTAGCCTTTTTTGATTTTTCAAATGGTACCGTAAAAGGGACAGCGTGTTGGTATTTGTGGGCAGCGCAGCAGAGGCTTCTTACCCTTGCTCTGAGGTGCCTTTCAGATGAGCAGGGAAGTGAAGGGTTGAGCCAAATCTAGCCCCACCGCCATACCTGTTCCCTGAGTTGGATGTTGCCAGTTAAGACCCAGAATCTTTTGTTTTCATTCGTCACTTGCTTATTATCTGTAAGAGCATTGGAATGGTCCAATAAGAGTAAGCTCTTATTCTCCCTAGAAAGAAAAAGGCAGACTTGGATTACGTATATTCATGAACTTAGATGTGGGGCTTCTCCCTTCCATAATCAAGGTCTCAACTGTGATTATGCCATGATAACGCAGGATTGCCTCAGTGGCACCTGGAAGCAGCTGCTGGCAGCAGCCAGCAGCTTTCCTGCAAGAGTTCAGCTTCTTCTGCATCCTTCTCTACAGTGCCTCCTCTAGCCTTGACTTCTTCTCCCTCTCCCTCATTCTCTCAGTATTGTTGCTTACTTACAGGCTTTTCAGAAACTTAAGGGAAAGAGTTTCCAGTTGTCAAAACATAAATTTAGACTTAAACATTGCAAGAGCCCTGAAGGAGAAAAAAGTTGGTGCTGAGCCATGGTACCAGTTCCACCTTCTGTGAAGGACAGAGTTCTGTAACATGGCATATGTTTCCAAGTGGTGAGGTTGGTTGGCCAATAGACACTAAGGAAAGAACTTCCTTTAAAATTATTAGAATTTAAAAGGACCTCAGAGTTCATCTGGCCCAGGGTTTCCTACACTTGCCTGATCATAAAAATTACTTGGGTCTTTTATGAAAAAATGAAAATTCCAGAGGCTGGGCGCGGTGGCTCACGCTTGTAATCCTAGCACTTTGGGAGGCCAAGGCAGGCAGATCACGAGGTCAAGAGATCGAGACCATCCTGGCCAACATAGTGAAACCCCGTCTCTACTAAAAATACAAAAATTAGCTGGGCATGGTGGTGCACACCAGTAGTCCCAGCTATCGGGAGGCTGAGGCAGGAGAATCGCTTAAACCCAGGAGGCAGAGGTTGCAGTGAGCCAAGATGGCGCCATTGCACTCCAGCCTGGTGACAGAGAGAGACTCTGTCTCAAACAAAAAAGAAAAGAAAATTCCAGGGCCCCAACCACGCCTACTGACTCATAAGCTCTAAGGAAGGGTCCTAGAAATCCATGTTTTGTTGAGTTCTGGTGTATGGTTTTTTAAAAAAAAAACATGTTGCCTATGTAAGGCTGAGGATCAGGCAGGCAGGGGAACCCTAATGTGGTATAAGCACCACCCCTTACAACTGAGGAGACTGGGTCAGGTTAGTCAATTGATTGCTTGGGTTTCTCAGCCAATGAGTAGCCTAAAGTGTCATTCCAACCACTTACTGATGGTGCGTTGTTGATCACCTAACCCGAATATCATTTTCCCACCTATACTATGAGGTGAATACCTGTTTCTTGGGACTGTTATGGGAATAAGATGAGATCATATATAACAGCACTTGTAAACTGTAAAGAGCTAGATAAACGTTAAGTATTTACTAAATGGCTGCACCAGGACACCAGCTCCATAGCTTATGCTGCACCCCAGTGGCTCCTGAATGCTTTGTTGAAACATTTCGAGCTTATTTTTCCAAGCTAGAAACTACCTCTTGATATTTCAGGACATGAAAGATTCCTTCTCCTCCGGCAGTTTCCTGGTTGATTTTAAAGCACCAGGATATGTCTTTTACTTTGGTTAGCATTCTGATGGACCCAGTAAGCATTTGATGTCTCTTAAGTAAAGCTGAGACTGAAACCAGCTATCCCTATGCAGGTGCGAAATTGAGGCAACTCTTGAGAGGCTAAAGAAACTAGAGCGTGATCTCAGCTTTAAGGAGCAGGAGCTTAAAGAACGAGAAAGACGTTTAAAGATGTGGGAGCAAAAGCTGACCGAGCAGTCCAACACCCCGGTGAGTATCCTCCCGCTTTGCTGTCTTTCCACATGCAGCTCGTAGACTGCGCGGCCGAGCATGGCAGCATGGCACCTCTTCCCCTGCCTCCCGCCGCCCCTTCCTCATTTCCTGCCTCGCGCCTGGGTATTAAAGGGCCCGTGTGTGTACTCAAGCGGCGTTCATACCCAATTTCAACTAACAAAATGCCAGAGATGTAAAAGAAAAGCTTATCCTATTTCTGGCTCCTTCCTTAAGAACTGTTACTCTGTCAGTGTGTTTGTATATTAGAATTACAAAAATAAAATCTGATGTATCTTCACACCATCTGCTCAATCTCGGAACATGCACCTCAGTGCTGATTAACTCCTAGTCGCTCAGTCATTAATAACTCTAACTCCAGCAGCTCTCCGACTAACAGTCTTTGATGTGTCAGAACTTAACCGTGTTTTTCTTCTAAAACGGAGCTAACCATGATGACATACAAATGAGAAGCATTAATATTTCATACTCAATTTAGTGTTACAATCACGGGCAGCAAAATATTGGAAAAAGATTCTCTCTGGACAAGCTTTCAGTATTTATTACACCTAGGCAGTATCTTGTTTTCTCCCAAATCTTGTATTTAGAAGAATATAAAAATTATTTTTAAGCATTTCACTGGTTATACACTAATCTTGAGCTTACATGCTGATATGATATTATTAAAGTCTAATCAAATTTCAGCATTCTTTCCTATTTTAAATGGCATGACATTTTCAGGAATTAAGTATAAATGTATAATTGTTTTTTCCCCAGGGTTTTTAATGGGCAATATTTGTTCACTTAAAATTAACCAAGTAATGGTAGATTAAAAGGAAACATTTTAAATTCATTTTCGATAGTTACTATGGTGATTGTGCAAAAAAACCCTGAAATGCCGTTCATTTCATGGTCAGCAAAAAGCTTTCCCATCTTTAAAAGTCTTAATCTTCATTAAGCAGCCAATGCCCAATTGCAAAATATTTTCTAGCATCTAAAGAATAAAATAGTCTGTCTCCTTCCCAACTTGTGTGGAGAAGCAACTTGATATCCAAAAAAGGAAAATACAATGAAGCTAAATGTTTATTATCAGATCCAACTTGGAAAAAGAAGGACTTCGGTTCTCCAGGGAATTCCAAGATGAATTGAATTGCTATCCATAACACTATCAGGGAACATTTAAAAAGTGCCCACATTTTATCTGTGAATTTCACTTGGCTGGTGAGAAAGACGATGAGAGAAGTTTCCTGTTCTGGCTGACTTGGTGCCAGCAGGCAGCCTCTGAAAGCCTCACTCTAGGGATCTGCACAGGAGCACTGCTTCTCCCAGAGCTCATGAGGGACAGAAGCAAAAATGTGACCTCACCCCTAGAGTACAGATTCTGAAGTCTGCGAGGTTTTGTTTTGTTTTGTGTAAAATGCATTGAAATCTAAAGCTGTAGAGCATTGCATGGCTTGACTCTTTCTATATGTAGTATTTTAAGAAAAAACTTTACCCATTCACATATGCTTCAGAACCTCTCTTTAGTTTATTGGCATCAGTTTTGCTAAGAAATTATGGGCTGCCTAGCACACATTATTGCTCTTAGTAACATAGTTGCATAATAAATAATAAAGCGCTGTCTGCTCGGTGGGTTGCCTGCTTGAGTTTTTAACTCCAGAAAACTTTCTGTGCAGGAACTGCTTTGAGGGCTACCATCTAACAATGGACAGCCTGCAGCACAATCTCAGTGAGATGTTCTTTTTTCCTTATGGGAGATAAGTTTTCTTTCTTTACAGTACTTGCTTTTAATGTCTCTTCTGCTTAGAGCTGGTATTTCTGAAGGAAAGAAAGTTTATGTTCAGATATTTTGTAAGTAGGTATTTTCTTTTGTCCTCACATCAGTTTCTGTTTGGCTTTAATAGATTTCTTAGAGAAAGATGAAATAAACCTTTTAAAAAGGAAGAGGCTGGAGGTTTAGGTTTCCTGTATGTGGCCTCATCTTAATTGTATGAGTTTAACATTTATGTAACTTCATAAAAAACTGTATCATTGAATACATTTCAAGGACACTATTTTCTTTCCTAAAACTAAAACATTAGTTAAGGATATTTGGGGAGATTAATCCTTTATGCATTGATATGGATAATGTTTATTTTCTAATTATAGTTGAAGCTTAATGTAAAATTTTATTTAACAATAGAAGCTTATCTGAGAAACATTCATAGAGAGCTTTAGAGTCAAACCTAATGTAAGGAAGGACCCTCAAAATAATACAAGCCACAAAGAGTCCCTGAGAATATCTAACAATTGAAAACAAATTTCAGAAGCTGAGGAGTTTGACTGCCAGGAAAATAACATCTTGTTTCTAATGTTTAAGACCTAATGCAATTGTTTTCTTCCATATAACAGATACTTTTCAGTTCAATTATATGAAATTAAAGTTATTGAACTAACAACTCCAGAAGGGTTTTTCCCAAAAGAGTGAGCTACTTTTTAAAAACTCAGCTCCAACTTCAGTTTAAAAATTAGGAAATTGATCCAGAATATTAGGCACCAGGATGTAGCGGTCATGCCAGTACATTATTTATCATAATTGTATCCATATTTAAACTATGCCAAAAACTTAAGCCTTGATTTGCATATTTCTCAAAAGAGGCAGTAACATTTTTCATATCCTAACAGTTTTACCCCTGAAATGGATATGCCCAAACATTTATGAGAATAAGCTGCCTGTTCAAAATAATTACATAAAGTAGAAAATAAATGTCTGTGACCACTGTGAGTGGTGACATCTTAGAAAAAGTGTTCTGTTAAAGAAAATTTGAATATTAAAGCATATTAGAGTGATCTAAATTGACACTATTTTCCTTTCTTCCCTGTTTTCACGTATTTACGTACTCAAGTCTAACTTAAATGTGAGAGACAGAATCTAGAATTTGTTCACAAGTGAATTATTTAATCATTTGAATAAATACTTTTTTTTTTTTTTTTTTTTTTTGAGACAGAGTCTCGCTCTTTCGCCAGGCACCAGGCTGGAGCGCAGTGGCGTGATCTCGGCTCACTGCAACCTCCGCCTCCCGGCTTCAAGCAGTTCTCCTGCCTCAGCCTCCCGAGTAGCCGAGACTACAGGCACACGCCACCACACCCAGCTAATTTTTGTATTTTAGTAGAGATGGTTTCACTATACTGGCCAGGATGATCTCGATCTCTTGACCTCGTGATCCGCCCGCCTTGGCCTCCCAAAGTGCTGGGATTACAGGCGTGAGCCACCGTGCCTGGCCTGAATAAATAGTATTATATCAGTTCTGGCTACTATAGATAAATAAGTGGAAGCAAGTGAATTGTAGACTGATTTTTAGTGTATGTTCAGAGTACTAATCCAGATAAAAAGGTAGTTGACAACCCACATTTCTCTAGAACTGTATCGATTGCTGCACTGTTTTTGTGCTTCCTCTAAGCTTTCCTTTTTGGTACAAGGTTTCTTGATTTTTCATTTGAGATTGAATCTCTGCTTAATTTATTTTTTAAAAAATATAATGGTTAACTAAATGTTTCTGTGTGAACATGAAATTGGAAAAAGTTAAGATAAATCCTAAAAACTATTTTGTTTTAAGCAAAATGAGGGCTTAAAACTTGCAACTTCATTTCTATTTGAAATTTGGCTTTCTGTGGTGCTTTGCAAACTTGTGGTTGTGATTTATCCTGTCATTCATAAATTATGGCAAATATGCTGGAGCCAAATCTGCCAATAATGAATTCTCACATAATTCTCTACATTCATTTATTACACTAATCATTTACCTCCTGTGTAGTGCCAACTAATTTTGTGGTATCTATTTTCCTGATTTAAATTGGTCCTAATTTCTCTTTTTACTTCTGTCCTTTCTTCCCTTTTGATAGCTTCTCTTGCCTCTTGCTGCAAGAATGTCTGAGGAGTCTTACTTTGAATCTAAAACAGAGGAGTCAAACAGTGCAGAGATGTCATGTCAGATCACAGCAACAAGTAACGGGGAGGGCCATGGCATGAACCCAAGTCTGCAGGCCATGATGCTGATGGGCTTTGGGGATATCTTCTCAATGAACAAAGCAGGAGCTGTGATGCATTCTGGGATGCAGATAAACATGCAAGCCAAGCAGAATTCTTCCAAAACCACATCTAAGAGAAGGGGAAAGAAAGTCAACATGGCTCTGGGGTTCAGTGATTTTGACTTGTCAGAAGGTGACGATGATGATGATGATGACGGTGAGGAGGAGGATAATGACATTGATAATAGTGAATGAAAGCAAAAAGCAAAGTAATAAAATCGAAAATGTTTGGAAAAAAACAAAACTAACTTGTTATCTCAAGTCTGTACAAAAACCAGTAAGGAGGCACAAAACCAAGCACTGCATTTTTAGGCCAATCACATTTACATGACTGTAATTTCTTATCAATTCTCCTTTATTTTTTGCTTACAGAAAAATGGGAAAATTAAGCCAAAAAGTATATTTATGAATCAGCAAATGTGGTGCCTGATTATAGAAACTTGTGATTCTATATACAATATAGGACTTTTAAAGCAGTGGCATTCTGGCTTTTTCTTTTTAAATGAATACTTTTCAGCTTGTATTTGACTTTATTTCCTTTATTCAAATCATTTCTAAAAACTTACATTTTGAACAAGAACTCTTAACTCCTAATTCTTCTTTAACACTTAATAATTCTGTGACATACTCTTTTTCCTTATAGCAATACACTGTAGTATCAGAAATGGTTGGCCTGAGCAACATAGTAAGACCTCGTGTCTACTGATAATTACAAAATTAGCTGGCACAGTAGCATGCATCTGTAGTCCCAGATACTTGGGAGGCCAAGGCAGGAGGATCGCTCGAGACCTAGCAATCAGTCAGGGCTGCAGTGAGCCATGATGGCAGCACCGCACTCCAGACTGGGCAAGAGAACAAGACCGTCTCAAAAAAAAAAAAAGAAAGAAAGAATTGATAGTATAAAATCCAACAACAAAAATACCGAGATGAAAGAAGGTTATAATGAAATGTTCTTCACAAATACCTAAGTGCAGAGAATTTTAGTACTAAATAGCACAGCTGCTCAATGTAAAGCCTGAGCAGTGTTCTCAGTCGTATATTTGAAGAAAAAATACTCTAATTTGAAACCAACAGCAGATGTTGCAAACTTTCATACAACTGCTGGCCGTGGAAGCTTCTTAACAACACCACACTGTCTTTTAGGGCTGGGCTTGTGCTTTATACGAAGAGAAAGATGTGGTCTTAAGGGGATGTTTCCAGGGGGGTGAGTTTATTCCTCTCCTGGATTTTCCAGTAAGTGGGGTATGCATGTTTGTTTGTTTTTTAGAAGGCATAATAATCCTGGCTTCTAAATATATGTATAGCTATTTTAAAGAGGAAATTAAATCTTATAAAAGAAATAGTTGATAAATTATCCTCACTGAGGCAAAAGCATAGGTCCTTTCCATATCAAGTTTAGCCTTCCAGAGTTGTTTTGTGTTTCAACCCTGCTTAATGATGTTGCTGTTTTAGGAGTAGATGCAAGCATTGCTCTGAAAACCTGGCTAGCCAGGAATATTCTCAGAATGGTATCACCTATTTGTCAAAACTTGTTTCAATTATAAAACAAGAACAAAGACTTTTTTCAATCTAAATCATTATTTAACTACTAAGCCAAAATATTTTTGGTGGTTCTTTTTATGAAGTTTAAGAAAGGATGTCATCACAGCTATGATCTAACAGTATTTCTAACTATATTTGATCATTAAAACCTCTTGGAATTTGAAATGTGATAGGCTCCTAATGCCCATTGAGAGCTGAAAAATACCACATAATGATCAGTATGCTGTGCCAGTTTCATTTGGGGAGAAATAACTAATACAGTGTTCTGGGTGTGAGGTGTATAGCGGTCTAGGTGGCACAGTGATGAAGAAAGAGATCAGAGTCCAGCTGTCACTCAGAATCCCAGGCCCCCTTACTCTTGGGCAAATTGTTTAACCCCTGTATGTCTGTTTGCTTATCTTCAACGTGGGAATACTAATAGTATCTACTTGAAAGGATCATTGTGCAGTTAAAACAAATGATAAATGGAAAGCACTTAGCACAGCACCAGGCCCATGGAAAGTGGCTAGTTAACGTTAGCGACTATGAATGGTGCCAGTGAAGACACTGAAAAGTTGGTGATTTCAGTAACCTTCTGGAAAACTAAACTATCAGTTTCAAATAATATTTTCTCTGTAGTATGAGATGAAATTAAAAGTGGATAGCTTTCAGGAAAGATAAAGAGAACATTCTTAGAATGTAAGCTAAACAGATTTCTTCTGTTGCTCTTTGAAAACTATGAGCCCTGGCCAGGTTAACCTGGTCTGAAATGAGACTAAATACAAAAAGGGTTGGTAAACCTTTCCCTAAAAGATGGATTCCCCACGTACCCATGCTACTAGTTTCTCTGTCTATTCACACATATATACAAATACATGCACACAGCTTGTCTGTGCTCAGACATAGAGAAGTACTACCTGACTCTAGTCGGTACGCCCAAGCAGAAAAGCTTGGAGTAGAGCAAAAGGGAAGGCTTGGGACTCCTGTCTTTCCAGCATGCCCTGGGATGCAATAGTCAGCCGCCTGACAAGAGAGCCAATAGCATGGAGTTTACAAGGCAAAGATACAGTCATTCATTCAACATTCATTGAGTTCCTTCTCTGTGCCAGACACTGTTCTGGAAGATAGCTAGATGAAAATCTGCACTCACATAGTTTACGCGCCAGTGAGCAAAGACTGATGATAAGCAAAGCAAATGCATCATATGTTCACATTTGATAAGTACATGCCAAAAAATAAGCAGGGAAGGAGGATAAGCCCATGGGTGAATGTTGAGGTTTATAAAGTGTGGTCGGGAAAGGCCCCACTGATAAGGTAACATTTGAGCAAAGCTGAAAAAGGCAAGGGGATCTCTGGGCTAACTTCGGGATTTGTGCACTTTATGTAAGAATGTAAACCTTGCTTCTAAGAACGATCAGCAGTACATTTAGAACATATGAACTGAATGAAATGGACATTGTTTTCTTAATTTATATATAAATCTATATGATTACACACAAAGTTCTGATGCATTAATAAAAGCAGTCAAATAGGCCAAAGAGAAAAATAATAAGACTCTATGCTGGACCTAACTTTATCATTAATTAGGTAATATTTTCCTCATTCCTTAACTGCTGCCATTTTCCTCACCAGTATTCCAGAGATGCTCATAGCTCAATACTTTACCATCAAGAAGAACCTGCAAGGATTTAGAATACAGCAGAAAGGGCCTCAGTGAAAAGCTTAAAATTGTTCTCCACGTAGAACTACTGATCATTAACACATGACATTGGCTCTTTTACTTTGCATTCCAAATCAGTTCCTTCTTGTGGTTTGAAAATGTTGGGCCGGGCGCGGTGGCTCAAGCCTGTAATCCCAGCACTTTGGGAGGCCGAGGCAGGTGGATCACAAGGTCAAGAGATTGAGACCATCCTGGTCAACATGGTGAAACCTCGTCTCTACTAAAAACACAAAAAATTAGCTGGGCTCGGTGGCGCGTGCCTGTAATCCCAGCTACTCAGGAGGCTGAGGCAGGAGAATTGCCTGAACCCAGGAGGCGGAGGTTGCGGTAAGCCGAGATCGCGCCATTGCACTCCAGCCTAGGTAACAAGAGCGAAACTCCATCTAAAAAAAAAAAAAAGAAAAGAAAAGAAAATGTTAACACATCCCTGAAATCTAAATCATATAACCAGAATTTTATAGTGTTCTCACCCTATCTATAAAGATAAGATCATTTGGAAGACTTTAGACTCTATTAATTTTAAAAGGAATATTTATTAGCCATATGCAGAATTTCTAATGACGATATGAATTGTAAAGCTTCTAATTCACTTTTCAGATCAATTTTTGAAATGGCAGTTATCAGTGTTGGATTTAGTTCCAATTACTTGATTTATAAAAATGTACATTTAGGAAGAGAAGGGTTAAAAGAAACAGTGAGAAATGTAAAAATTCAAAATGAGAATTGCGTCTCTCAATTGTGGTAATAATTATCGGAGACATGCAGCTGAAAATGTCTCACCTTTCATCTTTTTTTCTTAATTCATAAAGTTGATCTTGTAGAATTTGATGAGACCCTCCTAGTGGTTCTCAACTGGGGTCGTGCTGTCGGCTAATGGTGTTTGGAAGTGTTGGGGCTAGGGCACATTTTTGGTTGTCATAGCAACTAGGGTGGCATTGGGTGCCCAGTGCCAGGAATAGTAACATTATGAATTCCAGGGACAGTTTGCTCAGTAAAGTCTTCCATCCAAAATAGGCTGGCTGCGGTGGCTCACACCTGTAATCCCAGCACTTTGGGAGTCCAAGGTGGGCAGATCACCTGAGGTCAGGGGTTCGAGAACAGCCTGGCCAACATGGTGAAATCCTGTTGCTACTAAAAATACAAAAATTAGCTAGGTGTGGTGGTGCATGCCTGTATTCCCAGCTACTCAGGAGGCTGAGGCAGGAGAATTGCTTGAACTCAGGAGGTGGAGGTTGCAGGGAGCTGAGATTACACCACTACACTCCAGGCTGGATGACAGAGTGAGACTTTGTCTCAAAAAAAAAAAACCCAAAACAAAATACAAACAGCATTTTCCCCTCCCCAATGACAAATTTATCAAATCGAGAAACTTCAGAGTTTTGTGTCTAATTATTTTTCCCTTGAACAAAATTACCCAAGTCAAAAAAAAAACGTATTTTTGGAATTACAGCAACATACAATCTGAATTTTGTGAGTTTGTGGCTTTATCTTAAATCACCATTTCCCTAAGGGGAAATGGTTTCTTTCTTAGGAATGCTGGTGGAAACTTGATGAAACAGCCCAATCCACCAGGGCAGGCCACTCACCCATTACACTGATTCCACAATAAATAAGAATAAGTAAAAAAAAAAAAAAAAAAAAAAACTTGTTGAGGTAGCTACGATTCTACAGGTTAATTTAAAGCCCCCTTTGTCTACCCATCATTTTTTGAAATCAAAATTACATTTTACTATTTTACATAACCAGTGAAAAGAAGTTGAAAGCATGTAGCTCCCTGGTTTTGGTGCTCTGGAAATGTTGAAGGCGGGTTTTTAGCAGTGATTTTTAACATGCAGTGAATTTGTTAGACTTGTTAACACTAGCAAAGGTAGTCAAACTTGATCCCCATTAAAAAATCAAGGAATTGGGGGTGAGGAAGGGTTTAGAAGTGATCCAGAATGACTTCTTCTAGAATTACTGTGTATATACCTTTTTCAGAGTTTTCATTAGAATGGTAAGAGTTTTATAAATAACGGTTTTAAAACTTACTCTGTGTTAAATATTAATACTTTAAAAATGTTTATTTTACTAGACATGTTGCAGCCTTTTGAAAGTAGCAGAGTTTCATATCACATATATAATAGAGCATAAATTTTCTATAATCAGGCACCTTTTACTGCTTTTGAGTAAGACTGTTTTCCTGTTTAAGTGTTAAGCATTTCCGGACAGAAGAATCTGCTCTCTTCTCTCGATCGTAACATAGCCCGACAGCTCTAGATACAGCATTTCTATGATGAAAAGTGAGTGTCTATCAGGAAATCTAGAAGACTGGCCATGTTTTCTCAGACTCCACCTTTGTTTGCACTCTGTTGCCTTGTGAGGAGCTTTCAGGCATGCGATGATTTACTTCAAAACGAGAGTTCCAAGCACCTACATTAATTATTTTATGTTGTGTGCAGAATACTATATCTTTTAATGTCAGATACGATACACTGCACAATTGCTTTTGCACTTTTACAATTTTTGTACTAATAGGAAATATTTATATTCTTTGAGTGTGAGCTTTGAATAGATGCATCATCACTTTATTTTTTTGGCAAAAACTTTTTCTCAGTTATTCTATTGCAGTATTATTCTGAGCAAGTCCTATGCCAAATATCTTGTATAATGTTTGTATGGAAGATTAAATTTTACTCTTGTGTGGTAAGACTATTCAGTTACTGATTTTATAGTTGGAATTTGATATTCCAGCACAAAGTCCACAGTGTATTCAGAAATTCAAGTTGGTGTCATACATTTCATTTTGATGTGAACTTTTCTTTGCTTTCCTTTGTTCTAAGACTCCATTTTGCAATAAACGTTTTGACAGTAAATCCCTTTGTTATGTGTTGCTGTGTATGTAAGATCTCTGTTAGACTGGATTCCCAACATCCTTTGAAGGAATCGTGGTCACACGTATGCACACAAGTGTTAGCTTTTCCCTCCTAAAGTCAGTGGGAGTGTAAATAATAAATTTGTAAAGTGATGGGACAGTTATGGGGTGGATTTTTTTTTTATTCCCAAAAGAAAGAAAGGCTTAGAACTCATCCTACTGCAGATACACTGATATGTTAACAAGGTACAGAAAACATAAAGGAAATGATAAGCCACTCTGTGGCTGGAGATCATTAACTCTTATCCCCTGTCTTGCCAAATTCAAATCGTCATGAAGCAGTGCCTGGCTCCAGCCTTCCTCTCACTGATCTTTGCAAGCATCGTGCAAAGAATCCTGCTGGAGTGAGTATCCAGCTGAACCCAGTGCCTTTCCCAAGGCATCGTACTGGAGAACCATCCTCAGCGTGCAACCAACCCCCTCTCCTTTTGACATTAAAACCAGAGATGCTGGTTTTGATTAGTTATTTCATTTACAACTTCTATTCTATTCAAAAATACTTATTTCTCAATTTTGTTTAGCACAACATTTGGGAATTTCATAAAAATAACACTACACATCCCCTCCTCCCATCCCAGTTTCTATAAAGTGAGCCTTGATGCAGGAAAATATTTCTGTAACTCAGTCTGTTGTTTCTTGAATGAATCAAAAAAGTTCCATATTTTACATTTGCTTCCGTGATGGGAGAAGGGAATGGCGTGATTCTGCAGCTGTGTCCAGCTGCCCTGTGAAGAGATAAAATTGTCACGTAGTTTCTTTGATCCACTTCAGCTTTAGATTCTATTCCTCGAGTCTTTGTCCTTTCCCCATTATTAAAGTAGAGGAGTGTATTTAATGATTCCTACCCACCTCAAGTGTTTCCCAGGAGGCAAAGGCAACCCTGGAGGGAATGGAAGCACATGCAGGTAGCAGAGTATACATAGAACAGGATCGACTTCAGTGTGTACTTGTCTATAATATCAAACCCAAAGCATTCATATCCATTCCATCCAGTGGGTTTTTCTGCTTGCCTCCCTGCCCTGTCTGCCTCATTTCCCCTTTTTCCTCCAACATAAACTCATTGCTTCCCGTGCCCATCCTTCCCTCCTGTCCCTCCCTCTCCCACCATGCCAGGTTTTGCCTTGTTGCTTCTCTTTTCCCGGAATCGCCTCTCTTCTTGCCCTGCAGGACCCAGTTCAAGCCATTCTGCCTTCCATTCTCCCATCTTATTCTACAAATCCCTCTGTGAATACATCTGTCTATGGTATACCCATAGACATTGAACTCTATACCAGAGAACTCGGCATTTCAGTAAATGCACCATTTTATTCATTTTGCAAAATGACTCAACAAAAATTTACCAGATATCATATGCCAGGCACTATGTTAGGCATTAAGTAAACCAAGATTCAGGTGGCCTTGGAGTCCCCCATGTATAATTTTTACCTGTATTTGCCCCAGTTAAATCAAAACCTCCTTGAAGGCAGGGGCCGTGGCTTTCCTAGCAGAATTTTGACCCTGTGAGTACAAAATACCCACAAGTTAGAAAGGTTAACTCACCTACCCTCTGATTTTTATACTAATAGTAAAAGCAACCAAATTCAACATCTTTTTTTTTTTAACTCACAAGAAAATATTATTTGTAACAAGACGAATGACACTTTGCCATGTTATCTCATGAGCAATCCATTTTTGGGGGCAAGTTAGGTCAGTTAAAGCTAATAGCTGTACCAAACTCTAATTTGACTTATAGGGCATGCAGACTTCTAAAAATTATGTAAGCATTTATTATTCAGATGGGGCATATATTGAAGAGAGTAAGTAGCTCTTTGGCTCTGAAAATGGTGCAGGCTGAAGTCCTCCGGAGACGTCTTCATTCATACTTGTGAACCTCACAGTGAGGTATTGTAATCTGTTTTAGTCAGAGCAACTCTGCAGCCTGGGATTCTTAGGACAATACCACTTTCCCATATCCTTTTTCATCTCTGGGTACTAACATTTGATTTTTAAAATGTTATGCAAATGAGATCTTTAAATACTTAGAAATTCCCCTGTGAGAACAGGCATAATACATCATCTGGATACCAAGTGGTTGCTTTGCAATTTTCATTAATAACCCAACAGTCTTCATGTTGTCCGAGAATTCTGAGGAAGGCTCTGGTCTCAGAGAAAATGTCAGAAATTCCTTGACTGCTGAGGCCTTACTGTGGGATGTAAAACCCACTCTTGGGATGCCATGTACCAACAGAGGAATACAAAACGGTTCCCAAAGTACAATGACTTGTTACTGAGAGACTGGTGTATATTACTGCAGCACTGAGAACTGCCTCAGGAAACTGTTTTCCGTTCAACCCAACCTGCAGGAGGAACCAAGCCAGAGCAGCAGCTGAGAGCTAAGAGTGAGACAAGAGGATGAACCAAAAAGACAATGATAATATTACCTTTTTTTTTTTTTCCATTTCATGCATATTTCCCATGCAGCTGCTGCCTTCCTTTGAGATTGGTGCATGGACAGAAGACGATGTGGTAAGCTCTTTGCATTCATGCCTTATTTGACCTGGGCAGGTATTTCATAAATTTGTCCCTAAGTGTTTAGGGGAAGAGATGGGGCCTTAGGAAAGTCTAACCAGCAGAAGTTGACAAATTCTTTTTCTTTTTTTGAGACAGTCTTGCTCTGTTGCCCAGGCTGGAGTGCAGTGGCATGATCTTGGCTCACTGCAACCTCCACCTCCTGAGGTTCAAGCTATTCTGCCTCAGCCTACTGAGTAGCTGAGACTATAGGTGCTCACCAGCATGCCTGGCTAAGTTTTGTATTTTTAGTAGAGACAGGGTTTCACTATGTTGGCCAGGCTGGTCTCGAACTCCTAACTTCCAAGTGATCTACCAGCCTCGGCCTCCCAAAGTGCTGGGATTACAGGTAGGAGCCACTGCGCCCGGTCTTTTTTCTGTTTTTAACTCAATAATGATTGAAAATAAGGCCTCAAGAGTAAAGCAAATATCTCTGCAAATCTTCTAAGAGGGTTCTACCTCCCTATTTGCTCTGAAAATATTGCAGACTACCGTAACAAATACCAATGAAGAAATTAAAGTGGTGGCTCAGGAAAACAAATGAACATACTTGAAAAAAAAGTGATGTTACATCTTTTTAAAAGCCAGGGATGGCCTTGAGCCATGGTGGAGGAGGATCTGGTAAAAGCAGTGCTGGGCAGGGACACCACTGAACTGGCTTTCCTTCCACCTCAGGCCTGTTTGAAAGCAAGGCATCTTATTTGCCAGCCTTACTCTGGCCCCCCAAGCAGGAACAGACACAAGCATGCCCAGATATTCTCTGTAGCTTTAGCCAGAGAAGCTCTATGTTTCTGAGCAGCTGCACTCAGACTGTTGAAGTCCACAGGAACTCCTACCTCTACATGGGTAGAAACCCGGAGAAACAATCCAACTTAGTCTGTTACATCGCCATTATCTATCTTCTTAGTGACAAAACAGGTATGAAAATTCCTGATGAGAAAACTCAAGGACCAGGCTGGGTGCAGTGGCCTGTAATCCCAGCGCTTTGGGAGGCCGAGGCATGAGGATCACTTGAGCTCAGGAGTTCAAGACCAGCCTGGCCAACATGGCAAAACCCCATCTCTACTAAAAATACAAAAGTGAATGGGGCGTGGTGGTGCACGCCTGTAATCCCAGCTACTTGGGTGGCTGAGGCAAGAAAATCACTGGAACACAGAAGGCAGAGGTTGCAGTGAGCCAAGATCATACTACTGCACTTCAGCCTGGGGGACAGAGCGAGACTCCACCTCAAATTTTTAAAAGTGTATTTTTTAAGTTATAGAACACTCAGAAACTTATGCCTTTCCATGTCTATTTAACAAGTTCAGGGTATCGCTGAATGAAAATGAAACAACAACAAAAGTGTAATGCCAGCCTTAGTGGGTGTGGGCTCTAGCCCAGGGAACAGACCAGGTGCCACCAAGTGCAGACTAGCTACGGGAAACTCCTCAAAAGGTCTGTTTACCTAGCTTAATCTGGTTTGGGGCCCAGGCATTTCCTTCTCTGCCCTTTGTATTCTCTTGAAGTGCACCTGCTTTCACCATTAGCTAACTGCTTTGGCTTCCGTAGAGTAAGGAAACTTGGCACCAGTTGCCACTATTTCTTCCCATTCACTGAGCCCCAGTGATTCTCACTTTCCTGCCAGCCCTGCTTAACAAGGGGAGAGGACTCAGGGTCTCCTTTATTCATAAGCCTCGATATAATCTCTATCCCTAGCTGCAAAGTTGCCACTCTCATTTGAAAAGAAATTTTTGAAAAAGCACTGAGTTCTAACAGCTATTTTTAGTCTTTGCTTTGAGGTTGAGTGGTTTCCAGGCCAATTAAATAAAATTCCAGAGTTGAGGGCTCCCCGAAGAATCAGAGGGACTGAGTCTGGCCTCCCATCCTCTCCCCTCACCAAGGTACAGTAAACTCAGGCCACGTGATACACAGGGGCTAAGGGCCACTGGGTCCAGTCTCCTCTTTCTACATAGGAAGCTCTGCACTTTGACTTGGCCTGGGCCACGTGGCTACTTCATGACCTGGCCCAGAACAGAAGATTCCTTCCATCCACTGCCCGGTCCACTGCTGTGTTGTCTCTGTAACTCATACAATTCCTGAGTACACCGGTGCCCCTCAGCAATCCAGGAGACCACTGGTACATAAATGGAAAAATCACTATAAGTAAGAACACTCTTGAAAGGATTTAAAAATACCTCCCAAAGAAGGAGGAAAACCAATGGTCTTTCAACTGTCCAAGACCCCTGAAGAGAAGGGTATCTCCCATTTGAAAGCTCGAGGTTTTAAAACTACAAAGAGAAAGTCTATTTTACCTCTGTGGTTGAGCCAGGAATTAAAGCTATTTTGATCTATTGAAAACTCAATGTTTACTGTGAAGACTGACCACTGACCATGTGTGAATCTTCAAAACCCTAT